TGTTAAAGCATGGATTATGATTAGTCCTTAATTAACGATCAAAATTTTGCTCTTTTTTTCCTTTTTTACCTCTTCTTTTGTTTCATGTTTGTCTAACTTTCAACTTTTCATTTCTTTTAATAAACTGATCAAGTTCTGGTTAAAATGAAAGGTTGATCATAATTTAGTTCACATAATTATCTAGTGAAATGAAAATGATGTAAAAAAGCGAACAAGAAGAAGAAAGAAAAAAATGAAAACTAAAAAGTCAAGACATGTTGGGTTGACATTCATCTTTCAACTTGAACTTTTCAACATTCAGTTTCGTCTTCACCTGAAATGTTGATAAACTGATCATCTGACAATGATAATCTCCTTCTTTATGGACGAATAACTTGGAAAAATAAGATAAAAGTAACTCCAAGGAAAATATCTCAAAACACTTTTCTATTTTTACGCTCTTTTCCCATCAAACTTGAAATCCGTTTAAAGTGTTTAAATGTTTAATTGAAGATCAACTCGATCAAGCTGATCAACTAAATTGCTTCAATCAATTTAACTGTCGATTGTGACTGATCAACAATTCAAACCTTAAACAAAATAAAAGTTGAAATGAAATCTCATTTTCAATCATTTCTGGTATAAGAAAGGAAATGTCAACATTTGGTTTTTTAACCAGAAAAGGATTGCATGATGATTCTGTCCATTAATTATTCCACTTTTCATTGAACATTATCTTATGATAAATTGATGACATTAGCTTGTTGACAATGATAATAATGATGAATATTATAACAGTCACTTTTAATGGACTCGAGTCAAGCAAGGAATGGACAACTGAAGGTACATTTGAAACTCATGTTGACCAACCGATAATGAATGTCACTTTATCCTGTGATGGTCAAATCTTTATCATCATTACAGTAGCCAAGTCAACCTTAATAACAATATTAGTTTGAAGATAATGTTGAACAAGAATATACAATTAAATACAATTTTCCTATTTACCTTCATCAACTAATCAGTGAAAAAACAAAAAGCCAACTCAAGATAATCTCGATTCTGACAAATGACAAAAAATCGTGAATCTCTTTTAATCAGTAAATTGATGGCGGATTAAGGTAAATTGTCCATTTGGTGACAACACTTGGAATGCTTTTCATTCTTCGATTAACTTTAATTGAACAATGAACATTTCATTCCAACTCCTGAGATTAAACTCAATTTACTTGATTAAAGTTGCCTTTGAATGTAAATTAAGGCGAACACGAAAAGACTAAACTTGAATAAATTAATTTCCATTAACCAATCAAAAGTAATTAACTTTGGAAAAAAGACGAATTTCCATTTTCGAAACTCAAGATTCATGTTGTCCATTCAATTCATTTGAGGATAAAAAATATTGATATGAAATGGTTAATAAAGAGCTTAATGAATCGTTTCAACTTGAAGCTTAACTCATTCATCTTAATTAAGGTTAATCCAGAATTGTCGATGAAAAAACCAGAAAAGAAAAGTTGAATTTTTAGTTTTTTTCACTTTGATTCATTTTGGGATAAAAAGATTCTGATTATTCATTGGAATTGAAATTCGTTTGAAATGGGAAAGGTTAAAGGCGAAGGGAAAGTGTATTCAAAGATTCATCTTTTGTTCAGTCAACAATTAACTTTATCAATTTGATAATGATGATAACCCTGATTCAGTTAGACAATGGTTTCCATTTATTAATTAATCTTGTTACAAGCAAATGCCTTTTGTGTGCTGGGAAGGATAAAAAGGATTGGTCAAGCTGGGAGTTCAATTTTATGATAATAAGAGTTTCGTGAATGTTGAGGGTTGAATTATTGGTGAAGCAAATTGTGGCAAAACAATAGTTTGAGAACAAAGAAAATTATGAAAACCATTTTTAAATTGTGATGAAAATTAATTTTATTTATTAATCTTTTTTTTCTTCTACTCTTTTCCTTGTTTCTGGTTCCTTTTTTGTAATTTTAATTTTGCTTCAGTTAATTCATTGTTTTGCCTGTCATGCAAGGCTAATTGTTATTACTATCATCAGCATCATTTGAGATTCAAAGCGATAATACAACAGTTTTATAAATGGATAACAAGATGAATTCAATGAATTGAACTAGAAACGATAATTTGTTCAATGCTTTAGTCAATCTTTAGCTGCAAGTTTGAGATAAAAAGATTGAAAAGAAATGTTTTCAAAGCGAAAATTGGAAAAAAGGAGAAAAAATTTTGAAATTTTTCATGGAATGACGATTTGGAGATGAAATTTGGGTCAACATTTTTTCTGAGCAAAATATTGAAATGCTTTAGATTGAATTTTCATCTGGAAAGAGGATAAAATGATTGGATTGTAGCCTTTTGTTGAAAGATGAACTTGGAAGCAAAATTTTGGATTAAAAGTGAAAATGAAATTATGAGAAAAGGTTCAACATTTTGTTTCTTTTATTTTTCGAGTTTAAATTGAATTATCGGCAGTTGAGGTCAAATCGATATTTGGTTTGTTAATAGATGACAATAATCAAGTTGATTATGTAAATGTTATTGATGTTGCTCAGGTTTGCTGGAAAGGTTCACATTATTATGTACATTTGGTGTACTGATAACTTTTTTTGCTTCACTCATTCAAATTGAATTTCATTTTGGGTTCATTTTCACTTATATCAAACTGTTTAACATTAATGCATTTAAATTTACTGTAAATTTGTTCATCTATTTGGTTCTACTCATTTGACCATTGAATTGGTGGAAAAGAAAAATGTTTCTTCTTCTCGACCAACATTTCATCTTATTTTATATTCAAGTGAACCATGAATTGGACAGGTTGCTATTGAACTGTCTCTTTATTAATAATAATGTAATGATGATGGTGATGAGTTGACAGTATTGATATTGTCCAGTGACCAGAAGAGGCAAAAGTAAAGGTTTTTTAATTTGACCTTTTAAATTGACTGGACAAAAGTTGAAGAGGAACCCAAAAATACAGTGAATAAGTGCAACTTTATCGAATCAATTTTCCAACTCTACTTTTGGACATTTTTACTCGTTTCTTCTTCTTCTCATTCCTTTACTGTAAACCATCTTTCTTGTAACGAAATGTCATTGGGAAGATAATCATCATCTTGTTCGTTTCTCTTCCCTTCTTTTTCTGCTTCAATGTAATTGAATTATCAGGTTATTTGGGTTTCCTCTTTACTCAAACCTCAGACCTCAATACTGAATCTAGTGGTTGTTACCCAAAAAAATATAATAACAATAATAGTAGCAATAATAATAATGATAATAATAGTAATGCTACTGGAAAAAGTTAACCAGTCAACCTTAAGAATCAATCTATTCCTCTTAATCCATTTTATAATGTATTATTATTAAGGAACCATAAACAGTCTAATCTTGTTTTCATTACACCATTTGGTAAACACTTTTTTTTTGTTTTCCCTCTTCTTCATCATCTTTTCAGGCCTTGCTTGATAAATGATTACTGAACAAGCAATCAGCTAAAAGATTGTTTCAGTCTATTATTGATATCCAATCAAGATTATCACTACCTTGGATGGCCTAATCAACAGTCCAAGACTTATGGGTTTTCTGGTTAATCGGTAATTTTACTGTTAAAGTTTGGTGTAAAAATGGTTCTCCTTTTTTACCAGCTTTGAAACATTTTAACCGTTTTTAGATTATTTTTGTCATTATTAGTCTTAAGTTGATTAAAAGACTAACTGATGAAAGATGATTATTTTATTGACTAGAGTTTGACTCATTTTTTTTAATGCTGGATTGGGACTCAATGTAAAGTGACACTTGGAGTTATTGGGTTTAGATTTGCATTATACAGTCGCTTTGATTTTAGGCTGTTGAAGTTGATTTAATCTTGACTAATGTTCATTTTAAATGGATAACATTTGAAAGTGAACATTTATTCAACAGACTGTGAGTAATTTTTGCCTTTGTTTACTGTTTTTACCTGTTAATTTCAATTAGCAAAGGTTCACTTGGATTCATCTTTCATCCATTTTTAGATTCGGTTTAATGTGTTGGACAATTTGATAATTTATTGATTCAGATGAAATATTTTTTCTATTTTTGTCTTCGATTTTCAGTTTTACATTTGCAAAATTGATTGTAATCTAATCAAAAATGGACAAAATACGTTTCACTTTATATTGCATCTTTTGAATGTAGTTTGGACCTTGTTTGGTTAAACCTACAAATTGAGTTGATTTTTTGGAAAATTAAATTACAATCAAATGTTTTTAGATTTGATTTCAGTCTATTTTTTGTTGTTCAAGGTGATTGACTTCAGATGGCATCTAAATTGATCTTTCAATGGATCATTAGCATTTGATTAACTAAGATCGTTTCACAAATCATTTGATCTAGATTGTCAATTTTACTGAAAAATGTAAAGAACGGTGAATCAATTGAGAAGTAAATGGACAGATAAACTGTTCAAATGATTTAATTTTATTCCTCAATTTTCATGGTAACTTTCATTAAATTTAATATCTTTACATTACAATTCAATCCAACTCTGAATCGTTATCATCAATATCATTTGATCACTTTCTAGGCTTTGAACCTGGTAACTGAAAAAACAGTTGAACGCTTTTTTTACAAGTAAAATCAAAAATATCTTATAGTAAATGAGTCAACTGATTATTGATAATGTTGACTATTACAAGAAATCATTGAGTCAATCCTGGTTAATTTAACGATGATTTGGAGTCTGTTTTTGCATTCATAAAACGTAATTTGATTTTGCCTTTTGTTTGTTACGTGATATGGTAATCACCCCTTACTTTACAGCAAAACCCTTTCTTTCCTTTCTTATCATGTGATTACCAGACGACTGGTTCTTTGTTTTGTTTTCCACTTTCTGTTTTTCATCTAAAGTATTTTATTTTTGTGTACATTGTTAATATTGTTAATTTATCTGGTGACGTTAATTATCTTGTTAATTAATTACATTATCTAATTGTTTGTTGCCCGATTTTTTGATTAATTTACAGCAAATGTTATAGAGGATCCAGCTTATTGCGCTTATTCACTCAAACTCATCTCTGTGATACTTATAATTACAAGTTTACCATTTTCTCTTTTCTTCTGCATCAAGGTAAGTTATAACCCAATCATTTTCATCATTTAACCATTATTAATCTCTTTATTCATTCCTTCTTCTCTCGTCTCTGCTTTATCTTCATGTGAAAGGTTGTCCAAGAATATGAAAGAGCAGTTATATTCCGATTAGGTCGTTTGGTAACTGGTGGGGCTCGAGGACCTGGTATATTCTTTATCATTCCATGTATTGATACCTATTCCAAGGTTGACCTCAGGACAGTTTCTTTTGATGTTCCTCCTCAAGAGGTATTAACTTCCTTCAAACCATCATTATCACTATCATGAAAAGCTGCATCATTTCTCCATCATCGTTTTCATTATCATCAAAGGCTTCTCTGGTTTCTAACTTAAAGATGGTCAAGAAGTGAAAATTTGTATTCATAAACGTTTCTGCATATCAAACTAAAAGCTTTATTTATAGATGAGGAAACGGAAAACTAGAATCCTGAAGTATGTAATCAAGGAAGAGAAAATGACCAAAAAAAGATGGACAAGCAGGTGACGAGGAAAGGAGATCAATAAACATTCAAAGTATTCATCTGAACAAAAAAGCCTCTGAGCTGGAGACGAAGAAGAATATTACATTATTATCATTATTATTATGGCTATCATTACACTGATGAGTTACTTACTCTTTTTCCGTTTAGTGGAAAGTCTTGAAAGGTGAAAGAGAAAAAAAAGGTTGAGGATGAAAATGAAGATGAGAAGAAGATGATCATTGTGGGTTGTCTTTTATCGTATTCACCAGTAACCATTGAAGGATAAATGTAGGGATCAGACTGATAACAACAGAATGTAACAAATCATTGGTAAAATCCCTTACAATCAACTTTACCTATTCTTCTTCCTTTTTTTCTCTCTTCATCTTCATTTCTCCTCTTTTTTCCTCGTCATTTTCTCTTCCTTCATCTTGACCATTGAAAGGCATCAAATGTTTATATTGAACAAACCTACAGAAAATTGTAATACATGTTGAGTATTTTGCTTCTTCTTATTTGATGGGTTCCTATTAGTGATCTTTTATTCTTATAACAACTTGACCATTTACTTGACCGTATCTAATGTATAAACATTTCATTTTACCCTTTTAAATTGCTGTTACCTGATTGTTATAATAACAACAATGACGATTTAAGGTTCACTTGATTAGGATAAACATCATCAAACATCATCAACCTGATTATTTCGTTTCTCTTGATTACAATCTAATTAACTCGACCAGAAATCATTGTTTCTTTCCTTATTTTGTTACTATTTTTGCCTTTTCCCTCGTTTCTCTCACATAATCAACTGGAATAACAATCTACTGATAAACATTTCATCATCAGTCGATACAATTGTATCCAGTTTGAGATCCAATTAATTTGATCTTTAAATAGTTTCTAGCTTATTATTTGAAAATAAAAGCGTAATATTGTTTTTTTGAGAGCTTTAGAAAGCATAATCAGCTGAATAATAAGCAAGCTTTAACTCCAAATGTATTTAGCAAAAGGATTAAACATTTATTGATAATTAAGTTTACTTTCTTACCATTACTTGAAAATTTTGGTTAATTAAATCTAGAGTTTTATCGTTGATTCTATTCAATTGAAAACGTCTACTCGTTTATAGTGAATGTTTTGTCAACTTGTGTAATTCAATTATCTGCCTATTCCCTTTAATTTCATTCATTAATTTATTTATTTAATCATTTCAATTTCATGATGTAAAAGAAATTTGTTGATTAATCATTTCTCTCTTCCTCTATTCCCATTCTAGATACTATCTAAAGATTCTGTAACTGTAGCTGTGGATGCTGTTGTATATTTCCGTATAAGCAACGCAATTGCCTCAGTATCTAATGTTGAAGATTATGCGAGATCAACAAGACTCTTGGCAGCAACAACTTTGAGAAATGTTTTGGGTACTAAAAATTTATCTGAAATTCTGAGTGAAAGGGAATCAATCAGTCACATGATACAATCAAGTTTGGATGAAGCTACTGACTCTTGGGGAGTTAAAGTCGAAAGAGTTGAAATGTAAGTTTGGATCGCAAGATACTTAATGATAATCTAATTAACTAGATGATGAATACTGAATGATTTCACATGAACTGTAATGTGATTCAATTTTAATTATTCAGATTTAGTCAAATAAGTGATTCAATGAAGCCAGTTAATATGAAAAGTAGCCAACATCATTCAGTTAATCATCTAATAGTAATTCAATTGGAAAATAGTATTTTACTGTTTACCAATTTTATTGGTTTCTTATTACATTTAAATTGATCAATTTATATTTTTAACTTTACAGTAAAGATGTTCGTTTACCTGTTCAATTGCAACGTGCTATGGCAGCTGAAGCTGAAGCCGCTCGAGAAGCTCGTGCTAAGGTTATTGCTGCTGAAGGTGAACAAAGAGCATCCCGTGCTTTGAAGGAAGCTGCTGAGGTAATTGCTGATTCTCCTGCAGCCTTACAATTGAGATACCTCCAAACACTTAACTCAATAGCAGCCGAGAAAAATTCAACCATCGTATTTCCAGTTCCAATGGAGCTTTTTAGAGGATTTGTGGTCGATGCAGATCATAAACATAGTTCACATCGACACCATTCCACTCAAGAAACCATTGATTTCGGTTCGAATGATGATGAAATTCTGGAAGGACGAGGATTGGAAAGTGAATGACAATTAAGGTTGGCCTCGAATAGATCAAACAATTATCATCATCATAATCAGCAGCAGCAGCAGCAGCAAAAACAACAACAACCTGATATAAATAAAGCGTTGAGGAGATTTTCATTGGCTTTGCCCATTTTTCAGCCTCGCCGATGTATTCCAACAACGTTTACATCGCTTAAAAACAAATAAAAAACACTACCAATTACAATCAAGTGTCATCAAGAAACTCAGTTGCAACCAAACGTGAACCCATAACACTTGATAATGATTACAAATTTGAAAAAAAGAAACCTAATACTCTTCAAGTCTTTTTTTGACTAACCATTTCAACATTTGTTTAATTACGTGACAATTAATCCAGGGCCAATTACGTGTAAATATTTTTATTGCAAGCAATTTTGATCCAAACTTAATTTGTTTTTAACTAACTTACCGATGTCCAAATGAACGAATCTTCCGAGGCCAACTTTAAACCGAATGCATTAAAATTTTACTCCAAAGGACACAACAGGCACCAAGAATTGCAATGGGATTAATCATGTTTGGATGAATGATAATCAAAATTAATGTTAAATAGCACTTTGAATAATCTTTAACATGTCTTTATCAATTTGTTTTCCTCTTAACTTTTATCTTTTCATCTTCTCTCTCTCTCTCCATCTCTCTCCTTTCACTCTCATTTTGTTAGATAACTGAAACTGAATTGTTGGAAACATATAAATGCATAATCTAAATTAATGATGAAATGTAAACGTGAGAGTTAAATTAACGCGTTAATATTAACAGCGGATTGTTAAAAACAAAAAAAAATGATAAATCTTTTCTTTAATAAAACCTTCAATCTTGTTTCATTAAAGCGCCATTGGATTATTGTACTTTATTTCATATTATTCCTATAGATGTCGTTGCAGCTAGTGTTTCCGTTTCCTTCAATTATATTCAGACTTAGGCTTAAAAAGAGAAAATTATCATTTAATCAAATATTTAATAAAATCAACCGATTATCAACAGTATTATCTTTCATCTAACAGTGCCAAACAAAAGGATCAGTTAGAAACCTTTTTTAAATTGACAAACCATCAATAAGTCTTAAAAGTTAGTGATATAATAAATTCCATGGTAAGTGTAATACACAGATCATATGATCTGGAGAAAGCGTAATTCTCAATGTTCTGTTTTCTCGATCGTGTTTTAGATGAGTACAGACAAGAAGGCTGTCGTGAAAAATGCTGACATGAGTGAGGAAATGCAAGATGATGCCATTAATACATCAATTCAAGCCTTGGATAAATATAATATTGAAAAGGACATAGCTGCTTTCATTAAGAAGGAATTTGACAAGAAATACAACCCAACTTGGCACTGTATTGTGGGACGTAATTTTGGTTCATATGTAACCCATGAGACAAAACATTTCATCTACTTTTACCTGGGTCAAGTTGCCATATTGCTTTTTAAATCTGGCTAACATCTTACTATTTTGGCAATAAAAAGCATTGGCAGACCACAACTGCTGTCTTCTATTCTTATTTATTTACAATCATGGATAATCAATATCTCGCCTATGTTAAAACATTTCCCTGCACCAGAGGTTCTCTAATACTAGTTTAGTGATACTTTCTCTCTGACTTCCACTTTTCGATTCATTTGATTTTGCACTTACCTATTAGATCAAGCTGATTCTATTGCTGATTATCCCTAAAAGCAAGTCTAAAACAAACCAAAATAACCAAGTGTCATAATTATGGTTTATTCCAATCATTAGAGTCAAATAACAACAATTTGATGACATTCAATAAAGAGATCTCAAAAAAATTAAATCACAAAAAAAGTAAGATGAATCTTTCTCAAATTTATGCAAGTTATGAGGACATTTCATCCATATCCATTGAGCTGGTAAACGGTCTTTCAACTTGTTCCCTATAACACCATTTAGGATAAACCCTTTTATACAAATTCATTAAAACAGTATCATTTGATGTTAAAGGTCGATCAAAAATACACTTCATATGTCCATGAGTTCCCAGCGGTTCCTTAATGTGCCCATGTCTACCATATTTAGATCGCAGTTCAACTGGTTGGAACCATTTGATATCTTCACGATTGAAGAACATATAACGTACTACAGCTGATTTACTGACAACCTTGAATGGATGACCGCTTAATCTAATTCGTTTAATAACAATACGATCGGGATTGACATTTAACAGTGACCCAACAGCAACCAATTTGTGTGAACCATCTTTACATTTTTTATAAGCAACTGCAGAGGCTGGGGGATAAGTGATTGGGGCGTAAAATGAGGCAACAATAGAACCATCTTTAGGAAGAAATCGTTCCAATTTGAATTTATCTCCATTCGTGTGAGCTGAAAAAATTGGACGAGTAACGAAACGTCGAAAACCAAGATGAATAATCAATTCATCTTTGGATTTGATTGGTTCATCATTTTCGTCATGGTCAACTGAACGAAGGACAACATTGATTAAAGACATTTTCTGTTCATGAGGAAGAAGACCAATCAAAACTAATGGAAGAGAGAGTGATGACGAATCTTTGTTGTCATAAAACTTAATCAAGTCACTTGGAACTTTTTCCAAAATAATTTCAACATAAGAACCAGGTTGGACTGCAGTCGAACTTTCTTCTCGTAATTTTTTGATTACTCTCTTTCGCGTATGTGCAAAGTTTTCAAATTGGAAGATTCTTGAGTAATCGGATGGTAGATTTTCTTTTGAATCCCAGGGAGAATGGATGAAACTCTTTAATCCCCGATAACGAGCAAATCTATGACGAGCTGCAACATCAGTTGGTGTATCAATTTCATCGGGGAATAACTCATTTTCCCTTGCTTCTCGAAATTTAGTTAGAGCAGTTTTTTCTTCTTCAATGTCCATCTTTTCATCATAGTCAGCGTCACCAGCTTCGGTAATGGTCAATGTGTCAAATTCTTGATCTTCGTCCCGTTCTTGGTCATCTTCGTTGCTTTCTTCGTCAGAGATTGCTTTGTCTAATTGGTCGTCACCTTCTTCATCATAGTCATCTTCACTGTCATCGTCAAAAGTACTTTTGCTGTCATTGTTTTCGTCTGGCTCATCCGGATCTATTATCCAAGCTGCTTGGTAATCTGATGTACCTTTAGGAACCTTAACAACCCTCTTTTTGGCTTTATCAGTTGCTGCTGCTAATTCCTCCGGCGTTGGCCAAGTTTGTTCACCTTCCATAGGATCAAGATCGTTTTCGCTTTCTAAAGATTCTTGTTTCATCGGGTCTGGTTTGAGAACTTCAACACTTTTATCAGCATTCATTTGTTGATCAGTTCCCTTTGACTTATTATTTGTTGTTAAAGGTCTTGGATCGTCGAGAATACGGATGGATCTTATCTGATAGTTTGACCAACCCGGGATATGAATTAATCCATTTACATCTAGTTGATTGTGTCTAATAAAACCATTTACTTTAAGTGATGAATCCGTTTCATTATATTCATATTTGTCAGCTAGTAATGAAGATCGATAATTATGTAGAGCGACTTTTCGCTTTTTGCAATTGCAAATTAATTGCAGTAATTGTAGAACTTCAGTCGCGGTATCAATTTTGTGGAGTTTTTCATCCGGGAATTTAGTATCAATAACTTTCTGGATATTTTTCTTTACTTGTTGGCGTTTTTTGCTAGCAATTTCTTCCAATCCACAAACAATATGCATAGTAGTCGGTAAGCAATGATGATAAATGCTATTAAGAAGCTCATTATCAGCCAATGAGTAGTTCTCGTCAGCTTCAGCTGGGTGCAGGATGAGAAGCAAATCAGCTACTTTAGCTGTGTCCAAATTATAGAAAAGGTCATCGGATGGATACAAGAACTGATACCTGACCTTAAATCGAGGAACAATCACGAAAATCGAACCTTAAATGAATAAGAAAGAAAAGTCAATAAATATAACACAAATTTTAGTCTATTTAAAGAGTCAATTTATCAATAACTTACCTTTCTGAGAGCGATCAATTATTAAATCTTTGTAACATTTCTCTAAATAACCAAGAAATTCGTCAACGGGTCTGCCACTATTATTGAATACTGTTACCAATATAGGTGGACAATTATCATAACCAATCTTTCTTTTTTGGTTAAGAATAGCTTCTCGCTTCTTTTTTCTCTGTTGATTCAACTGATTTCTTCTCTGAACTCTTTTGGCTTGTTGACGAGCTTTGCGTGATTTTTGTTTAACGTCAACCTTGTCGACTGCCATTTCGTTATTTAAAACACTAAATTTTTGACACAAAAAATTAACAAAATAAATACTTTAATAAAGAGCCATTTAACAAAAGAACATAATGTAAACAACTGTGTTTAACCATAAGACGCAAACACGTGTTGGAAACCAAGGGATCATTTACTGATAAAAAATAGGAAGATTTTAGGATTTATAGTCATAATTTGATTTCAAAAATAATTAAACAAAATAAATAGATTGGTACAGTTTATAGTAAGCTATTTTTCAAATTTCAAATACAGGTCAACAACAATTCGGTCAAAGAAATAATTACACGAATATCGAACTAATTCAGTTTCTTGTGTCCTTTTATCTAAGGAATTTCATCGTTGGTAGGATTCTTGCTTAAGGTGAGTGAATTGATGAAAGAGAAGATGAGTATCTAGATGACCCAAGCAAAGATCTGCGAGAAGAGTGAACAGATGGTGGAACTGGCGTTTTAAACCGAGGTTGCCTCGGAGGCGAAAATGGAGTCCGAAATGGCGTTTGCAATGGTTTTTGGGGTTGATTTCGCCAAGGTGCAATTAATTCCTGGAGAAACTTTTGACCATCAAAGTCAAGGGCATCGAAGTTTGCTGATTCAAATTTATCTGCAACGGCAATTAGTTTATTAGAAAATCCTTGAAGGCAATCAATTTTTCGAGCTGATATGACATTTCCTCTTCTAAGTTGATTTTCGATCTCTTCGGTACGCTCTAATAAAATAGGCGCCAAACCCGCAGCTTTAATAACTAATGTCGCTCTACTTGAAGAAGCTTTCCCCGGAATCAATTTATACTGATAATTAACCTCGTCATTGTCTATTTTAACATCTAATGTCCAAAAAGAAATTTGGGGTGATGGAATGATGTGCTCGTTAATTGTCAGAAAATGAGTGGCCACAAATACATGGGGAACATGATCAGCCTTTGCAAAATAATTAATTAAAGCTGATAATAAGCTGATTCCACTGATTGGATCAGTCCCTTTACCAAGTTCATCAACAACGAACAAGGAGTGTTCTGTTTTTTCACGTGTCATCATTGCTGCTTGTTTGAGATCCAAAATGTACGATGAAAGTCCAGTCGAAACAGACTCGATAGTCTTAATCCTTGTCATTATTCGGTCCAATAGACTAATATTAGCATAATGAGCGGGCACAAAACTTCCAATATGAGCCATGTATATTATCAAAGCCATTTGTTTCAAGAAAATGCTTTTACCACTAGAATTGGGACCAGTGATTATACGAATCTTGCCACTTTGATTTCCTGTGCGACAGTCATTAGCGATATAAGAATCAACAAATATTTCTTGCAGTGGATGTCGCCCATCTTCAATATCCATCTCGTCATTGACATTGAAAACTGGTCTTTTGTACTTGAAGCACCTGGATGTTTCAGCAATTGCTATAAACCTGTAAGATTAAAAAAACCCATGAAAAAAAGAGACTAAAAAACTATTGAAAAAATAGAGGATAAAAAATTAACTTACGCATCAATTTTAGCGCAAAGTGTTGTCAATTCATCCAAAGCATTGATACCATCTAAAACCTTGAATTGGAGCTGAAGAAGAACCTTGCGTTGTTTTTCAGTTATCTCAGTCAATATATCGCCAAATGTTGCATCTAGTTCTCGTGTCATTGGGGATTTATAATAACCAGATTCTCCTACTCGATAACGAAATTCTAATCCAGGAATCTTGAAATTTCCAGTCATCATTTGAGCAGGTGAAAGCGGGATTTTACAATGAAAACCTAAGTGAGTTGCGTAAGTTATTTGGCATGATGGTATGCGATCCTGATATCTGAGGAACTCTTGAGCTCCATGTTGAAACATGATATCGGGTAGTTGGGCATAAAGATTTTTCATCTCATCTAAATCTGCGTCCAAACCTTTATTGACTTCGAATCTACCAGTTGCACGAGATTCACGGAAATCTATAACTGCTTCAATGAGATCAATGATAAGCGATAATCGACTTTCTGTAAACAGCTCTACAAATCGAGCTGCAATGGAAAATCGCGCTTTAATGCTGCATAGATATTCATAGACACGCTGAACGTGTTTAGCAGTTCTCAATAATTTGGCCCAATCATTGACACTACAATCAGCAAAACGCATTTTCTCCATTACTGATGTTGGATCTTGAATTCCTTTTAAGCAGCTCCTTAAACCTTCAACTATTGACGGTGTGTTGTGAAAAAATTCAACCATATCTAATCGATCATTAATCTCCTGCATGTTGTTAGTTGGTTGATTGAAAAGTTTCTTCAAATACCGAGATCCAATTCGAGATGCACAGCGATTAAATAGTGCGAACAGACTGAGTCCTTCTTTACGTGAATTACCTTGCTTATAAACTGAGGGATGGTTTTCAATAGCAAATATTTGTAAAGCAATTTTCGATTGGCAGTCTAAATAGATAAGATTTTCCAGAGTTGCTGGTGCTATTCCATTGACCATTATTTTCTGTCCATCTCCATCAGTCATTAAATTTGAACTTTCAATATCCTTAATTAGAGCACCGAGGGCAAGTAATGTTGTCTTTTGAGAATGATCAAATAAAGATGAGAGATACATGAGTTTCTGTCTAGGATCAGGAAATAAAGGCATGTCGGGTAGCTCCAGTTGCAATACTTTAGCTAAGGCTTCATCGGGTGTGAAATCAGAAGCAGGAACAGTAACGATGATATCAGAATGGTGATCACCAAGTTTGCCAGTATCCATATCCAAAACATCATCAGTATCGTCACTAATATTTGGTTCATCCGACCAAAGACCGTTTCTAATATCAAAAGATGCACCTCTTGCCTCCATTGATTCTCTTGATCCTTTATTTAGTCCATCACCACCAAATGCAGAAGAATGGTTACTATCATGATTAGGCTGATTATCAGATGTTTGTTGCTGGTTATTAACGGGATTACCAACTTTTTGACCAGCTAGAGGTGAAACCAATTGATCGACAGCACTAAACAAACGGCTCTTGACCCTTGAATCGAGTCTTGAAGAGATAAGTATTCGTTTGGGTTCAACTTGTTGGACAATTCTATCAATAAATGACAAATCACCGGCCACTTCAGGTTGGTCTTCAAAAAGGAAAAATTTATTCCTTTTACTTGAATAATAAGCAAAACCTGAGCGATGATTGTTATAATGGATAGCCAAGATATTACCTTCACCATGATCCACTTCAACATCATCTTCACCGTCCACTAAATCATCATTAACATCAGCTTGATTGGCAATATTTGGAGTTGACAAACGAGACCCAATAAATGGTGATTTTTGCATGATTAAATTTAATAAACACTTTTGTATAATTAATAACTGAAGTTCGTAAATACTCAATAATTATGAAAATAACATTTAACAAAAGCTCAACAAAAAATTCGAAATCGAATTTAAATGTTTAGTAAAGGAAACAGAAAAGCTAAAAGCTTTCAATTGCTTGTTATAATGACTTCACATAACCGATGATTCACATTTTGCTAATTGTTTTTAAGCCGAAAACAAAACATTGCCAGTTAGAAGCTTAAAAACAACAAAGCTTATTGAATCATAGGTCTAATGAGATCTTGATAAGTCTTTGTACACAATTAGACAATTGACTAATGAGGTTATTCTACATTAAATCAGTCTAAACACCATTTTAATGATTGTTCATCTTAAAAATTATATTTGTGCATCCATCTTTTAGCCCAGTTTCTTTAATTCATTTCGTTTATTTCAAAGGTGAAAAGATCATTCTTTATGTTTATTAGGATACAAAAAAATGTCTTCAACAAGAGGAAATATCCAAGCATTCATAAAATGGTCATAAAATTGGGGAAATTTTCTATTTGAATGTTTGACCAGCAATAAAATTCCGACTCATCAAATTGAAATTGTCCAAGTAAGTCTTCGATAATCCTGATTTAATTTGGTCTTATTCATAAGACATATGCTATAGTAAGGTTGACTATCACTCGATCGAGTCTATCATGAATAATTAATTTGATTAAATATATAATGTTGTTTAAATTTAATTATAATAAAATCTAGTTTATTAACCCGTATTTAGTTATCAAATATTTTGATCTAAATAAAAATGAGAGTTAAAGGGTTAGAAAATGGGTAAATTTGAAATCTAAAGTTCATTGTTAATTCATGGCAGAACATTGAGTTTTACATTCAAAATGAAACATAATATTGTAAATGATTTGCTATTAACACTTTTATTGGTGATTCGTTTAGATTACTCGGCAGCGGAATCTTCAGATGATGGTATGTTTGTTGAATTGAACAATTGAAATTTACAACTCTAATACCTTTTCTTTAATCAAATTATAAAGATTCATTTGATATTGATTCATCTGATCAACAAGCTTACCTTGAAACTACTATTCGTACTTCTATTAAGACAACTCGTGGTCCATTTAGCTATTGTAATGTTTTACAATTTGTAAATCGATCTTCTTGGGAAGCTGACGTACCTGATTATGAGTTTCCGATGATGGTTCCAGTGGATAAGATTTTCATCGATTATACTTACAGCGAACGATGTTCTAGTTTATATCTTTGTTCATTCAATCTTAAGTCAACTCAAGAATATCACAAAAAACAAATTGGCTTATTTGATATTGCTTACAACTTCATGATTGGTGATGACAGTAAAGTTTACATTGGACGAGATTTCATGGTTGCAAGAGCATTTGATGATGATTACAATAATAATTCATTGTTGATTGGGATAATTGGTGATTATGAGAACCCATACGGACCTTTGCCACGTTCATTGGATATTATTTACAAACTTATTCGTTGCGGCCAAGAAAAGGTAAATAAATCAAAGAAACTTGCTTAATTTTACAAAGAAAATTTATTATTCTTAGGGAATAATCACGGATAATATAACGATTTATGAGCCTGTTCCTGATTACTGCCAAAAAGGACCAGGTAAGAAGTTGTATAATTTTATGATTCTGAATCGGTTGAGACCAGCCAGCTATCGATGTTTAAACAGTTATCGTAAATTTTCCCCTGAAATTTTAAGAGACGGATTTAATATATTGAAATACAATAAATACACGGAGAGCTACTTGAATAACAGATTGTAAGCCTTGTAATTTTAAATAAACTCTAATAATTTAATGACCGACTCAATTCACTTGCAAAAGACGTAACCAATTTATTCAAGTTTTAGGTAGAGTTGCATTCTTTGGATCATCACGAGGCTCTCTCAATCGAGTTGTGTTAATATCCCGTTGTCTTTTTGGTGAATACATTGATTTTAATTCCAAAAATGTTTTCGCAAATTCACCTAAAAGTCTCTCGGGCCCGAGCAGTGGTTCCAACCTAAACAAAACGAGTGATTAAGTCGGTTATTGGCAAAACTTTTATTCAACTGGACTATTAAAATTTACTTACCATGATTGATAAGAATCACAACAAGATCTGGAGGTTTTACAGCAAGTCCTTGCAGCATATGGAATTGAGCCGCAAATCAGGCTGAAGCACAGAAACATTGAATTCGTCAGGTTTCCTGGGATCAAGGTTAACAATAAAAACAATTTCAAAAAAGCTTGGAATTTCATTCTCAAGCCTTTAGTTAATGTTGAAATTATCAAAGATAATGCTCTAATGAAGAAGTATCACTATAGTTTGCCCCTAATTCCCCATAATTTCACCTAAAACACGGTTTAGTGTTGATAATAGATTTCAGTAAATCCCTCATCGAAAAAATGATAATCAATTTGGTTTCTGGTGGCTCCATCGGTAATAATTGGGTCAAATAATAATTAATCTGGTGGAATGTAAGAAAATGATACGAATTAGTAAAGTGAGAATCTATTGAGCAAGAATGATAATTAATGGATGAACTGGGGGTCGCGATGAACAGTTGGAGTTTAAATCGACGATTCAGTGTCTAAAGCTTTCTTACCTTAAAAAAGTGAAAATGAATTATAAGAAAAATGAAGTAACCAGATAGTTAGCAGCAAAAAGAAGAAGAGTGAAAAACAAAAATACAAGGTTAAGCAATTATCATGTTACATCTTGATATGTCTGATTATCGTCACTTTCGTGTGTATGTTAAACCAGATCATCCTTTTAATTAAGCCATATATCAACCAAAAGTTAATTCTCGTTCATGCAAAATCAATCAGATTACTTTGAAGAGCACAAGCAAGGCTTGAGGCATCAAAGCAACTAAAGTTGTCATCCTCATCTTTGGCCGTCTATATAGCAAAGAAAACCATATTTTCGCATCAAATCGTCCATTAGTTGCAGCACCTTCTTATGTTGTTTTCCTTGACGATCATGGTGTTGATGATTGGATAAAATAATTGGATAAATAGATAGAAATGTACACAAATTTCAAATAAACAATACAAGAATAAAGCAACTCCAGTAGATGGTGTAAGGGTTGGGTGATGTCGGTGTTGATACAGTTAATTTGTCAACAAGACAAAAAGACACTCCAAGAATAGAGCTAATCTCTGCTGGTACCTGCAGAAAGATTTACAGTAATTGTAATTGCCAGTGTTCAACATAAGATAAGTTAATTCACTCCACTATTTGGTTTTGAAAAGTGTAGTCAAGTTTAAAATTAAAAACCGTTAAATAACCAATAATTGAGACAGACTGTGTTGGTCTAAAATAAGAAACAAAGAAGCTGTAAATGTAAGATGAGTAATGTTATTTTTTTGGCGCCAATATCGTATTTTATGTCGCCCCATAAAAAGACGACATAATTATCTTGATTATCTTTTAATTATTTTAATAAAGCTATTTAATTTTTTTTCTTTTCTCTATTATAATTGTGGTTAAAGTGATTTAGCTAACATTACCCTCGATGTCCTCATTATTGTGCAAATCAGCCAGTTGAGTTTAATACAAAGATTAAAAAGTGAAAAGTCTCTCCATCAGAATCTTTTGTAAAGCTCAAGAAAACACATTTGAGGTAAGTTAATAGTTATTATTATTATCATAATTATTATTATTTTATATTACTAATCACTGAAAGTGAAACTCACGAACAGATTAAACTTGAATATCATCTTAAGTACAATTGTTTCAATTTGACCAGTTGGGTTGATTAGTGAGATAGAAGAGTAACCAATTAATTGAATATAAATGCAAATATAATACACAATTTTATAGTTTGTACTTTTCACTCTCGATACCAATGGTAATGAAGGAAACGTTCCTAATAAAATTAAACTAATCAACGTTGACTGACTCTATCATCCTACTGGGTCAATGTCAGACACGAGTGAAAAAGCAAGCAATTCAATCAGACTACTGACAGTATAACAAGAAATGAATCAAAAATTTCGAGACAAAAACAAAAATGTGTATTTGCATGATTATCAATCAATTAAAAGAAGATGACTCAGAATAAATTATACTCAACTCAGATTCAAAATTTACCGAATTGATCATTAATCTTCTTTCTCTTTTCTTCCTTCATCTAGATGATCTGGCCGAGGTTAGCCAAAAACAGCTGAACACATTCACAAAGCTGACGTGAAGCAGCGATATAGTTGCATGGTGATTGATTTTAAAGATCAGGCGTAATTTTAAAAATGTATCAAAATTTGATCACGATGCACACAAAATGGACATTAAAGATTCCTTGATTAGACCTGCTAAATTTGGATTTGACTCAAAAATTGGAATTTCACTCATTTTTATTGAATCAATGATATTCAAATCGGGATTAATGGTGATGAGAATGATCAACATGATTTCAACCTTTTACTTTTATTTTAAATATGTTGATTAATCTGCGTAATCATGGCGAATGATTTTGTTGTAAAGGATAAACAGTCGACCACCCAACTTAATGATAATCAGCACCAGTCAAACAACTTGTAAAGTCTGCTGGTCAACTGAGGAAGTGTCAAAGAATCAAGTTGATGATGATAATGGACAACACACTGCGTGGGTCGTTTGTTAATAAACGTGATTACAATTCAAGTGTTGGTTAGGAAGACAAAAGTTCACTTTGGTCATTGCTTATTCATTTTTCAAAATCGGAACCATGTATTAATTAATTGATATGGCTAATTAAGTGTTGTATTGGCTGCGTCAATTGAATTACATGGTTGTTTCTCTTCTTTTTGACAGTTTCATTTCATTTGAATATATTTCTATTATACAATTTGGAAAGCATATCATGATTATTGATTGATTAAGTGGTGTTACCGGTGATGCAGACTGAAGCTTAAGCAATGAGCAACCACAGTGATAAAGATTAATCAGTCAAGCAGTTTCAAGGTGTTCATCTGCTGTAAATTATTTCATTTACAACCATTAATCACATCCAACAACAATCTCAACTCTCTATTGTGTCTAATGATGGAAAACAATCAACATGTGATTAGAGCAAAGAATAAGTGGATAATTACCATTATTCATACACCAATATTCATCAATTTAACCGGTCAATTGGGAGAGAACGATTGAATAATTTAACAATCTTGATGATGTTGGTTACCGGTATTACTAGTCGTATTATATTTTCATCACTATTGTTATCACTATTATTGTACTCATCATCAGAATGATTGGTTTAAATTATTTGGACGTATATTGTTGGACCCACATCATTTGTTACATTTAAATAATTAGCTGAACATTTTAAATGGCCTGATTGATGATTTCCAATGAAATGTAATGTTTCTCTCAAAACACAATTGTAATTGTGACTTTCTATTGCTGCTATATAATACGATTGTTATACTCGTTTTAATTATCATTTAAAATGTTAATCTTGATGTTTAATTGAAACATAATGCTGTTAATGCTGTTGTGTGTTATGAGCGAAGAGCCGAAAGGATAAAATATGGCCGGTTCAATTGTGTATATCATCACGAATAGTTCACAATGCAATTTTGTTGCCTTCTCTAACAATTTGCATCAACCAAATCAAGTTAATTATAATAAATAATGATAGTTAATGCGGAAATGGCTTGAAAAATAAACAAAAAGGCAAAATTTATTTTGTCCAATTCACGATCATCATCATATAATACATCATATATACATCATCATCACCATTGAGGATAAGAGCGCAAAGATTATTAAGTTACTAAGGACAGGTCAGATGAAAGGCTATCGTCACAATTTTCAATTGTTGTAATCAATATTTCATCCAATTTGTGTAACATCATCATCAACAACAACAACAGCAACAATTGATTGGCTTCAATGGAGATAAGTTGAGTGCTGATGGAAGTAAATGAACAATTGGAAACAAAACAAAATGGCAAAATATTAAAACAAGTAAAATGGAATAATAAAGGATTAATTTTTGATTCGGATCAAAGAGCCTGATTTGAGATGATGCTGATGATGGTAAAGGAGAGGGAGGAAAGATGATCATGTATATCATTATTGAGAAGATGATAAATGAAAGTGATTCAAATTTGAAAGGAATTGATAATGTTAAGCCGATTTTAAATTGTAAAATGACCCAAGGCGAAATCACATTAAATGATTCCATCTCATTTTGAGATTGTCATTTATTTTGTAGGTAATGAGTTGGCCAGAAACAAGGTATTACATCTATTATAAACAAGCAAATCATCAATAATTGCCCAAAGAACCGGTAATTTAACCTGATGGAAATTAATCAACCAAAATAAAGCTTTCAATCAGAATCTTTTCCTATTCGGTCGTTTGATTCTCATTTTCGCTGCACTTTAATAGGAATACCGATTAAAACTGAGCCATGTTGATCGCTAATTAATCTTTAATTAAACGTGATTGCTGATTGTTATCTCCAAACTTTACCTTCAGTATCAACAGTCCTGAAAGATGGTCACACTTGGACACTCAACTTCGTTCTGAGTTTTAACCAGTTAAATATTCAAATGTTTGCAAGTTTCAAATTTAAGAATTCAAATTAGCTAAATAATTTGACTTAAACCTGTCATGATAAAAAGCAAACAAAATAAAACAAAATAAAAGTTCAACATCGTGAAACACTTAACACAATCAAGTAAACCTGGTCAACAACTGAATCTAGTGGTGAAATGAATCTTCCCGGCGAAACTTGAACATTGTAATATTATCAATGCCACTGACTACTAACTAAAGGAGTTGATTGCAAAAGATGTACTCTAAATGGCCATCTCAAGAGCAAACAATTTAATCCATGAAATAAGCCTGAAATTAATCAAATTGCTGTTTAACCACTTTCACTCGATTCCATTGCGCTGTCATTTCAACCATCAATCTAGTTTTCACAATAAGAAGCAGCTATTTCAAGTCAAGGACAATCAACAATTAACCAACAAATCCACAAATGTGCACTATTATACATTAACATTACCCATCACAAATCCTGCAGAGTTATTATAATATTTTTGAGCCTCCAGTGATTTAGATCAGTCAATCACTTTTTTTTCATTAACCTTAAGTTATACTTAATCTTTTTTCTGACTTGCTTAAATGTTGTAAATCATTTCAGGTTCAGTCTTGATTGTAACTTTTACTGTTTACTGTTTATAACATTTTAAAGATGACTCAAGGATTGACAAATTGAAATCAAATATACAATTTAAATTAGATGGTTATAACCATGATTGTGGTCAAGATTGGATGTAAATGCGCTGTTATTGCTACCAAAACAAAATATTTTCTGATGATCTAATGTTTTTATTTGATCAGAAGAGTTAGTCAACAAAATAATTAGAAGACAAATGTTGGAAAAACCAGATCATTTTGTTACAATCAGTTGATTAACTTATAAATTGAAATTAACAAAGCTGAATGATATTTTGCTTGTATTAACAAGATTCAATTGTGTCCGAACAGAATGGCAATTAGGATTAACACGCGACATTCAAATTATGATTTCAATGAGGTTTATTAAGCAATATTGATCAATTTGAACCGATCAATGATACTTGATCAGGTTTAACAAGGAAATGTTGATTTACTCTGATGTTTTAATGTCCAATTAAAGGTCAACAGGTCAAAATTTGAAGAACCATTCGCTCAATAAGAAAACAAAGAAAGAAAGGCTTAAATAATGACAATTAAATACTTTATTCTGCACAATTAACTCTCTATTTACAGGTTCGAAATGGTTAATTGTGTTAATCTTTCACCAGATTCATTTAGTAATTTAGTATTCATCATCTAAATTTGATAATTAACTGTGCAATCCGTTTCTTTTTCAATTACAAACAGATTATTGCATGTTATTAGATGTTTTTTCAACCGTTTTTTACGCGAATTCAATGTTTACATGGATTGATTGAACTATTATCATCAACAGAATCAATTGATTGTACGGAAGTTGGTTAAACTGATGACGAGTTTATTTGAAATTGTTTCTGTAAGTCATTAAATGAAAAGCCAAATTGAGAATCAATCTCTGATTATATTAATAACATAATAAGATAGATTGATTGAGTTGATCAATATTACTAAAACAATGAGAGAGAAGTTAAAATTTTAATTGAATTGAATGGTTCACTTTGATTGTATTTAAAAACTATCATCTAAACCAACTTGATTTAGGTCTTTATTTTAATCAACTAAACACACGCAACAAGATTTAAGGTACAATTTTCATGCAATTTTTAAACAAGAGCAGCTTTTAAGCAAACATCAAACAATTGGTAAAGATTTGTCTGTGATTAATTCAATTCTGATCGATTGAGTTGCAATTGAAATTGAACAAAACTGTAAAATGATAATCGTAATGATAAAGATGATAAAGATGAAGATACAACAACTGATAGCTTTAATACAAGTTACATTCAAGACAATTTTCACTTTCATCTTGCAACTTGATTTTCCTCCTTTCATCTTCTTCAAGCCTCACCTTTTCCTAACACCTTGGACTCTCTCCTATCATCATCTTTATCATCCTCTAACATCGTCTTCACCTTGATCTCATCCTCCTTCCGAAACAATCATGTATAAATACGAGGTTGCTTGAACACTTCGAATCACTTGCAAAACAGTCGTTTTAACCATCTTTTAACCATCATTTCATCGTTCTTCTCCTTACTTCACCAACCAATTGTATTTTTTTGATTGTTAGTAATTTTGTTTTTATTTTGTTTCAGCCTTTTCATTACAATCAGTATCATCAGTTTTCAAAAATTAATAATTTTCCTTTTCTTTCATTTTCTTTCATTATTCAGTTGTTGCTCAGCCTGCAAATATTTAAACCATTCAAAATGAAATACTCTTACATCTTTTTTGGTAAGCATCTGATTGTGTGTTTTATTTTTACCATTCATTATTGTTGTCTACATTTAATCAAATACAATCTTGACGGAGGATTATATAATATCTACTGTTTATAACGATAAATTCATGTGATTCATCCTTAAAATTGTTGATTGTTTCAATCTTTTCTTTCACCTCCATTCTTATTAGTGATCATCTTGAAGTTTCAATCTTTCAACATAAAAAACCGTTAAATATTTTAAATTATTCAAACTCTAGATTATAGAGTTTGGATAGTTTTTTATTTAAACTGAGAGGAAATATTTTATACGATTTTATGATAAATTCAGATATTGAAAGTTAATTTCAACCAATAATTTGTAGCTATAAATATCGATATTTGATCAGATATTTATATATCTAGGTGACAGATCGTTCAAACAAAAGTGTTTTTGTTCAAAGAGTAAAGGAATCTCCTTTACTCTTTGTTGTTGATTTTTGATTAATATTTTAACTTGTTTGTCTCCTAATTATCAGCTGTTATCATCGCCGTTGTCTGCGCTCGAAGTGTCCGGGAAAAGCGTCAAGCTGAAGCTTATACATTACCAGATGGAATTGAATTTATTTTAAACGCTCCTTTGGTAACCAAATTCCGTTGTGAAGCTGCTGGATATTACGCTGATATTGACAACAATTGTCAATTGTTCCACATTTGTGATGTTTCAACTAATCCAAGAGGAGTCTCTGAGATCAGACAATACACATTTGCCTGTGGTAATCAAACAATTTTCAACCAATTAACCATGACCTGTTCGACTCCTGAGGAATCTATTCCTTGTGACCTTGCTCCACAATTTTACAGTTTCAACACCAAGATTGGTCTTGAAAAGACTCCATTCCATACCGATGAGGAACTCGCCAATGCTGCTCAATATGTTCCTGCTCGTGCCAAATTGCTTAAAAATTAATTAAAATTGGTTAGTTAAATATGTAAACATTAACATAATAAAATAAGAATAATGTAGTTTGAAGTGTTGAAATTTTTCTTCTTGTGCCTTAATCTTCTTTCAGCCAAAATCTGTCTCTTTTACCTTTTCACTCTTTATTTTATTCCTGATTATTGTAATTTCTTCTTCTTCTTCCTCTGAACCTGAAACTGATTTTTGTTTAATATTATGTAAAAAGTAAAAAAAATAAATAATTACCATTAAACTTTATACTGTCCCTTTTTAATTTATTTGATACAAAACCTTAATTGTTGATTAACATTAGCCTTGATTAAATCTTCCTCTTTAAAATTAATATCAATTGAAGAAGCGTTTTATGTGAATTGACTTTTTCCACTTTCTTCTTGTTAATGTTTTTTACCGTTTCTTGACCGTCAACAATATCATGATTATTATTGTTATTATCATTATTGCTGTTCAGCTTTATCATTTTAATGGTAAATCCATTACTTTGGTCACTTCTAACGTTTTAAATGAAGATAATCATAACGATACAAGTTTAATTTAACGCTTAACATTAACGATATCAGGCTTTGTTTAATATGAAATTTGTTTCCATTGAATGTCAGAATAATGTTTATCGTGTAATTAATATCTTAAGTGATCTGTTCACAGAATATTGTGATAGGTTGTAAATTAAATCAAACTTATCTTCATCAATAAATTTAATGTGAAATCACGCTTTTACTATTTAAAGGGAAAGTAACTCAAGTTTAAGCAAACGAGTCAGAAATCATGATATTGAAGAGTTAAGCGTTTATCAATCTTTCATCTAGCATTTAAAAAGGATTACACGCTTTAACAGTTGATCTGATGTTGCTTTTTTTACCTAAAGCAAGTGAAAACAATCAATCAATCAAGATCAACCTCTCAATGTGGCAAAATATAAATAAATAATTAGGAGACAAAATACATTATTGAGAAAATTTATTTTCTTTCTTTTTTCAAAACAAGTGCATTTACAACTCAAATAGTAGATGTAATATTATCTTTTATCAATGTGAACTCCATCTCTTAAATAAAGTTTTCAAAATTGAAATTAGATTGGAGATTGAAGAGTTTATAGAAAGGGTAAAGAGTAAGGGATAGAGAGGTAGAGGAATAGAAGAAAATGGTAGAAACAGAAATAATCGCTACCGGATGCTTTACTTATATTTTATGATTAAACGAAATTTTGTATTGTTTTGTTTCTTTCGTGAACTGACCTTCTTGTTTTAGCTTTATTTCTTGAAACAAGCGGTAGTTGGTGGTGGGAAAGGGAAGAGAAAAGACGAGTAGAAACAGCAAAGTCTAGAAGACGATGAACATGGGTTAAGGGAGATAGAAAACAAGTTTCAAATGATGATGGCAAAGATGGAGATCGAAGGGTAAAGGAAAAAGAATTGGGGATTTCGTAAAGGGAAGAGAGGGTAAGACGAAAAATATAAAGAGAAAAAGAGGGAAGAATGAATGAGCAGATTCCTTCACATAGAAAGACGTTGATACTTTTTCTTTTGTTGCTTTATATGAACTAAATTATTTTTGCAATTGCTAGTCTATCCATATCAAACGAAACCAAAGTTTTTGGTTTTAATTGCCATCAAAAGCTTTGAGCGTAAGACAGCTTTGGAGGAATATAGAGGAAGATATAGTCGCGATATACAGGTGTTAGCGGTTGGTAAATGCTGATCATCGGCAGGTCTAATAGTTACACTGGGCATTTGATTAAATCCTTCTTCACTTGCAGGTAAGGCTGGGCTTCCGGTCCAAAAGTCAACTAAATCTTGCTTTTCTTGTGTAGTCATTTTCTCCACAATTGACCAGAACCATTTTTTAAAGTAAGCTAAGTGTTCACATCCATCTCCTGAAAAGAAGGAAAATGGTTAAATAAAGTGTACAATTGTATTGTGTAGCAATATGCGATTTTGCCTATGGCAATATAACGATAAATAACAGCAATCAATACTTACCACTTTCATAGTTAAAAGTAGTATAACTCATCAACTGTTGAACATTAATTTCACCGACTCCGTTTAACAGTAGTCTGAAATCTTCAGGTGTTAAATTATCGAACGCATTTGCAGGTAAAACATCAAATATTCCAGCTCTTAAACACTGTTAAAACAAACAAACAAGAATAAAATAATTAGAAAAGATGAAAATATTTAAAAATAAACTATAAAAACAAAAAAATGAATAACATACCTGTAAAGCTACTTTTTGACAATGATACATTCTATAAAGAGCATATTTTCTAACGTAATCGTATACATTGCTTGGAGTAACTTCAATGTTGCGTCCATTTGGAATCAGGTCTACATGGCCACCAAACTCTTCTGGGCAAAGATCAATGGAAAACCTTAAGTCTAATGACGAGAATAAAGCTTCAGCGTCTTTATCCAGTTCAGCACTCATTATAAGTTGTCTTAAAGATTCGTAAAGAATAGGATCAAAGAAGGCTAAATCGTGCCATGATATTTGCCTTCGAAGAATATATTTAATCACATGACGATTGAAAAAGATAGGGCATAAATCATTTTGTAATAAACATAGTCCAATTATACGGCCAACATTACGGAAAGCATTTTTACGTTCTTGAGTACATTTTCCTTGACGAGGTGATACAAAACCTCTTTTGCCTGGTTGGTAGAAAAGTGGTGCGTTATCTTCAACTTCGTCATCATCTTCAAGGGCACCTTGTCTCAAATTACCACTTGACTGGTTGGCACTGCTACTGCCACTACTTTTAGTGACACTTGGAGATAAATTGACGTTGGGTGTTCGACTTAAATTAAATATGTCTAAACCATCAGGATTGTCATTAGATGAATTAGAATTGGAATTTTGATCCCTTCCATGAGTCAATATTATGTCCACAGCTTCATCAACCTTAGCACGAAGAGACTCATCAGAGGCAAACAGAGTTAATAGATGGTGAGGTGAAAGTTCAAGTAGCATGCCAGTTATCCTGCTTGCCAAGGTGGGTCGAAGTTGAGCAACTTTCGGGTACAAACGTGTTCCCAATTGTTGACGATGAGGGGTTAACAGTTCATTCAGATTGACTGGTCCATTATTTGAAGTTGATGAAGATGAGGATGATGACTGTACATCGCCGGGCATAGTAAATGGCGGAGCATCATATCTCAATTGATAAGGTCCATCACGGTCAGATCGGTCTCGAGGACTTGAGATCAAATCACGGGATGATGATGATCGATGACTTGCATAGGCTCGTCTTTGAAGTTCTTTTTCTTTTTCCTTTGTTTTCAATCTTTGAAGTAAATTATATTGAAGTGATCTACTGCCAACATGACAACCATGAAGAGGAGGTAATTTCTCATTTGATAAGATAGCTTCAGCGAAAGCTGTATAAAAGCTTCGGGCAACTCCACTTCCTTCACCAGGTTCATCTTTAAAAGTAACTTTAACCCTAGAGATGGCCAAAAGAGGTGAGCCAGCGGAAAGACGGCGGCTAAAATTACTGTACATTGAATTGAGTTCCTTAAAAGTATGTTGAATCAACGCATTTCGTTCACGATCAACTTTAGAAAAGTTAAGATCTCGTTGCTGCGATGTTCGCAATTTTTCCATTTCTTTACGAAACTTGGCTTCTTTAACTGGAAAACCACCGAGTTCTCGGATCACTGAGCCAGGTTCAGTTCCAACATCATCTACAAAAATACGACCGAAAAGTTCAAGAGTTAATCGCCAACGGCCGAGAAGTATGTCATATTGAATTATATTTCCTAAAAGAGAGATCGGTCTTTTACTGAGACTGGTTCCATGTTCATTAGATCTACCAGAAGGACCAGCCTTTTCATCGGAATCAAAAGATTTAATATTGCTTGGATGGTTGGTGCTGCTGCCATTGCCACTAGAAGAGCTGTTTGATTTAATTGAAGCAGCATGAACAATAACACTTGATTTATTACTAGTCTGAACTGGAGATACGATTATAGGTGAACGAGTTTGAACGGGATCAGAGATAACAGAAAGAGATCTTGAACTAGATGCACCACTGGATGGCAACATTGTGACATTATCAATTTGATTATCAGAAGGGCCGGCTGTGGCAGAGAAATTTGATGAGTCTACGTTTCTTTTGGTTCCGAAAGATTCGTTGTTTGATCTATCACTGAGACTTATTCGTGCTGGAAGGGAGTCAAGTAAGATTTGATCACTATCTGAAGAGCAATTAACAGAAGGTCTTGGGACTCCAAATAAATCTTCTTTGCGAGCTTGGGGTTGCAATAATTGAGGTTGATCTGCTAGAGGAAGAGCTTCAGTTAGAGGAGTTGAAAATGGATCAGGAGGTGGACAGCCAAGGAAAAGCGTTGAGTTTGATCGTTGGAAAAATCTGTGCTTCCTTCCCCTGTTAGATGTGCTAACACCTCCTAAATTGAGATTTGAGTCATCGTCCATGTTGTTTGGATCATTCTGATATGAAGAATTGTCATCATCTTGATCTTCAATGTCATTTTCAGGTTCGGCTATGTCATCCTTTAGAGCATCAGATGATTTATTCAATACTAAACCTTCATTACCAGATCTCATGAAATAAATGAGAGCATCAAAAACATAAGCAACATGTTTCAAAGAAGAAACATCTAGAACTGGCATTGAATCAAAATGTTCATTGTTGTGCGCTCTCATTAAAGACATAGCATATGATAAGAAATCTTTTCGGGCAGGACCACTTTCCAAAGTAGTAGAACTAGGAATTCGAGCAGAATTTGATGTTACAGCATTTCTTCTATTAGCAGTGGCTGACCTGGCATCACTCATTAAACTTCTACTATCTTCTCGACGAGTAGAACTAGATCTGGTAGTTGGTTGAGTAGCCTGGGTTGTTGCAACACTAAGTGGAGGAACCCCTGTAAGAGTTGCACTTGAATTGTTAGATAAAGCACATCCAAATCTTAATTGGCCTTCGGTAGCATCCATGGAATTAATTAACCAATCCCAGGTAGGTTTTAATTTGTTTTCCAAAAAGTTGAGTAAACTGATTGATTCACTATAACTCATACCGATAGCATTAATACCAGGAGTGGTTCCAGGACGTTCTCCCATATTGTGGAGAGAGGGGACTAGTGCTGCAAGTTGACGAATAACAATCGAAAATGCGCGAGCAAGGGAAACAGCAGTAATAGCCATAGAAACACCTTCACCGGCAGTCGATGCGGTTGGTACAGGGGCAACAGATGACGCTGGGCGTCTTTGAATGGTTGTTGGATCGATATGCACAAGTCCAGTCGATCCAGTTATGGCATTAACAGATATTCGACCGCCAGGGTTTGCTGCTGAATTGGTTGAACCAGAGGACATTTCTCGGTGTCTTAATGCCCATTGTAAATGCTGTGCAAGGTTACTTCTGACTTGATTGACACTAGCCGAACTTGATGAGACACCTCCAATATTCGAACTACTACCAACCGGATTATTACGCCTCTCTAGAGATTCCTCGATGTATGGTAAATCTTCATTGTCTGGTTCAGTTTCCGCTGCATCACTATCTTCTTCATCTTCCGCATTAGAAGAATCACCTGATTCATCTTCTGAAAAATACGCAGCCCCTGTTTCAGAGCCTGGTACATTACCAGTGTTAGATGATCGTTGATTAACATTAGCATCAGCATTACTTTGATAGGAAGCAGGTGAATCATCTGGATTAGAATCAGAATCAGAGTCACTCTCATCATGTTGACCTTCTGGTGCTTCTGCTATGTCATCGTGTTCACTTCCATCTTGTTCTCCATCTTCTAAACTCTCGATAACATCTACCTCATGATCTTCATCCACACTACCAACTACAACATCAGCTCCGACAGAAGCTTCAACCAAAGAACTGTTAGCATTATCACTTCGATTATCTTCCGGATTTTCACTCATCAAAACATCTGATTCTTCATCAGGATAAATTAGACTTGATGAAGCTCCATTACGAGTTAAAATAGGGTCAACCGAGAAAAGTTGTTCACTAACATGAATAGCATCAAGAAGAGAAGAAACCAAGGAGAAGGGTGCAGTTGGACGAGCAACCCCAAGTCTAACAGGAGAAATGAGTGAATCGGCGATTTCACACAATTCTTCAACAGCTATAGGTAACAAAGCTTGGAAAACTTTCTGACACTTCAATAATTGCGAGGATGCTGAGTTTTTCTTCCAGTTACTACTTATGTTGTTTGCATTAAGATTTTGATAAGAGGCTGGGGTCAGTTCCACACACAAAATTACACCGACTCGAGCAACAGAACGGACAAATCGACGAGCGACGAGTCGAGCCTCTTTGGCAATATTAGGATTAGCATTATGGCATTCACGAATAATAGTCACCAATAATGGTTCCAGCATTTCAACGGAAACTTTGACCAGTAGACAATGGGTAAACTTATCCAATAAAGCAGTTCCATTTTGACTTTGCAAGAAAGCTTGTTCTTCAGCTGCTGTATATGTTAAATTTGATTTACAGTGTGTTTGAACCAGCGATGCTATATTATTATCACCTCGATATCCAGTTAAAATCATTGATTTAACGGCATTCCAGTCTTGAAGAATTCTATCCAATGCTCGACGTGCGAATCTTGGTGGCTCTAAATCATGATCTGGAATTTCTGCTTCAGAATTACCACTGATCTCAGAGGTTTTACGGGTAATAGAAGAACGAGACCGAGCTGGACGGTGTTGTCTTTGTTCTACCATTTGACGCCCTACAGTTTGAACTAAGAAAAGTAAGATGTTTTCACCTCGGCTATTAGGTAAAGTAACCAGATCAGTATCAGAAAGAATTTTTTTCAGTAATTGGTGTCGAGCAGCTTGAGAGCTGGCAATCAGAGCCTTGCATTTACATTTCTCCCAACAGTCACAGTATGCAGTGGGTGAAGTTTTCTTAAGTTTACAGTCATGGCCTTTATGACAAACACGGGCACATTCAGTACAGCAACAAAGGGAGTCGATAAGACCACAGGTCTTACATTCAAAAATATCTTGGTTGATATGTTCTTGGCCAGTCCAAGTAAAACTACAGGTATCATTGCAACAGAGAACATGAAGAGGAGAATCGTCAGCATTAGAGCCTCTTGGATAAATCATTGACATGGCGATTTTTTTCTGACTTTCTAAATCACTGCTTAGTTCTTTAGCAATCCGTTGGGCAACATTGAATAAATGGATAGCAGCAGTGTAGGCACGTCCACTAACAGCAAGCATAAATGGAGTGTAACCTTGAGAATCTTTTGCACACATAAGCTCCTTAAGGAATGGCCGAAGAACTTGAGATTCGGTGAGAGCCCAAAGCACCGAAAGGGCAGCAGATTTCTGTTCATTGGCATCATAAAATGAGAATTCGGCGTTTGTTGAAGACTCACTGGTTAAATTAGGCATGGAGGAAGCTGGTGATGCTTCCATTTCTGAATCACTTCCTTCAGCATTAAGGACTCTTGCATTTGAGTCACGATCTTGGTTAGACAAAGGAGAGGGCCTATTACTACTACGATTTCTTTTGATCATCTCGTTCAGTGTTCGATTACTTGAAACATTCAACAGATCTAACGCTTCGCTGTTGTTCTCTTCGATAGTAGATTCTTGTTGAGGTTTATTTGTAGTAGGGAAACATGCAGAAACTGCAGTATGAAGAATATTTCGATTACCATCAACCCTTTCGCTAACAATAATTTGTTGAGACACAGATTCTTTTTCCAGTGATGCCAAAGTTAATCTTACAAAGTCGGGATCACTTCTCAAAATGGCAGGAGTCAAAATTTGATTTTCCAAAGCTAAAGCAATAACTGCAATTTGGTTCTTTTGATTAGGTACGGAGTCTTTGATTGGACTAATGCCAATGCCAATGGCTTGTGCAGGGGCCATGTCCAAAGTAATTGGTTCCCTTATGGATTCAGCACAATCTTTGGCAAGTGGATATAAAGCACCATTCCCATCACGTAAAATTGTTATTGTCTCATTTTCACCATAACAGTATAAGGATATCAGAGACTGATTTTGTCCAAAAAATGAGCTTTGATCAGTTGGAAAAACACAATCTTGTTCAATTTTACCGGAAGCAACGCCATAAACAACATAGCTTAACTTAGAGTTACTCTTGACAATAGCATGAATTCCTTGATTAGAAACAGTCATTTTGATGAGTTGTGTACCCTCAGGAATATTGACCTTTTTAGGTGACTTTTGTAGACATTCAGTAATTCTAGGTGAATTGCTACCTTTGACAACTTGTAGTTCATCCTTACGAAGCAATCGGCATTCTTGTAGCAGAGAGCTCAGATCGGTATTATCCTGAGAACTATTTCCAAGATCTTTACAGTTAAATCTAACACAAGCGTATGAACCATCTATTTTAATCACACGCCCAATGGGAACATTCTTAAAATCTTCAATAAATACAACATCTTTAATCTTCCACGTTTCTTCATCTTTGCGCTCCTCATCCTTCAAAGATGATGATGATGCATTTGTTATTCGTTTGCTTCGTTTAGGTAATGGACTAGCGCCTGGCTCAGAGCAGGTAGATGAAGCTGGAGAAGGTGGTGGTGGCATTTCTAATCTTTCTTGTGATGATGATTTTGAGAAACTTGGGCTTGGAGGTTGTTCACGGGACAGATCCATTCTACTACAACTGGCAGGAGTTGAGGGTAAGCTTGGTGTTGAGAGGCACAGCTTTTTTACCTCTGATGGTCCTAATACCTTGACAGCACAGGTATCAGTGATACTCCAGGCTGATGTTAAAAGTTGCCCAACTTTAGGTATGCCTCCGGCAGTGGTGAACCCAAGGGCACCTGCATGATAAGAAGGACTGTTTCGCATACAAACAAGGGCTCCAGTTGTAATATCAGAATTCATAGATGACGGTGTACGTTGCTTCTTGGCCTTGGTTTTTGTTTTTTCCCACATTTTCTTGCGATGCGAGAAAGGTGCAATACCCCACCAGTAAAGTGTCCCATTATCAAGACGAACACAAGAATAAAGAGAACAAACGTGAAGGGATAAAATCTTCTCGGCCATCTGGAAATCTGAAAAAAAGTTGGTAGCAGGATGTTCTAATTTAGAGGCTACAGGTACAATACTCTCATCGATCCATGTAGCAAGTTTCATTGTATCGGTTAGAGCTGAAGCTCTGATACAGGCACCAGAAATTTGGCTGATCTTTTCATTCAATAAACCCAAGCTAACTGTTTTGGGATGATACACAGTAATACCCTCACTTGTTTGACCACGGAATGGTTCAGGTTCACTCCATTTCCATTGGAATAATTGACCAGTGTTGCTTATTGCAGCTAACTCTGAATAGAGGCCGATTATTTGGATAAATTTACGATTCTCTGGGGCTGGCCAGAATTCAAGAGTATCTGAGATGAAAAAAGGATTCAATTGAGGGTTATTATCATTGCGTTCCCTGGATGGATTGTTCCCATTTTCGTTGATCACATTGTTTGATGAGTTTTTGTTGGACTCAGATGCAGAAGCGGAATCTCTTAGAGCATATTCTAACCATCGATGAGATGAAGGTGGACCACTCGAACTGCTTCCAGCTGAAACAAACTGTCTGTCTGACCCATAACGAATCAAATGTTCCCGTTCAGGAGCTGATGAATCACGTTCCCTATCACCACCAGATGAAGCCCGACCCAATCTATTTCCACTGGGACGAACTCTAACAGATGAGTAGCTGAACATCTCTTCTGGAAATACAGCATCAGAATCTATAATGACACCAGGATGGTCGTTGTGAATACCAGCATCAAGAAGAGACATAAGATCATCATTAGGTAAATAAGAATCTTGACTATCATCCATATCCTCAGCATCCTCGTCATCGCGACTTAATAAATTGTTAACAGCTAGATTAACATCTAAATTTGTCCTTTGAAGCTCTCTTATGATAAGATTACGAGATTTTCCTTGAAGTACCACCTGGGCTTGAGTTATGAGGTCTTCTGGTACAAATTGAGCTGCAACCACAGGTCTACTACCCATGATAACACTCGAAGACCCTCGTCCACGCGCTGTGCTTGACGCTCTAAGAAGCCGTCCTCGACGTGCATTTAAGCGATTTGATGATAATGAGTTAACACTTGAACTACTATTCCCTTTTATGGTTGAGCTACAAGGAAAAGAAAAAATAATAATAAGATATGACCAAAGAAATTACATAAGACTCAGCATGGGTGCAAATTATAGAACAATGGGATCGGGTCAATATATGAATATACTTACACTTTAGATGGCTCCGATGTAGAGAGATCTAACCTATCTGACATGAGAGAGTAACTCACTCTGCAAATACGACCATCCTGTTAAAATGAATAGGAAGATAGATAGAAAGAGAAAAATTAAATAAAAAGGAAGTGTCACATTTTGAAGAAACTGCAGTTGCAGAGACATAGAAAAGAAAACATTGTTCTGATGTAAAAGATTCAAGTTCATGATTATTAAATTTGGTTACTATAATCAAAGATGGATGAGTCCAAGCTTATAAAAAAAACCTTGACCAAAAAAATCTATTGAGAAAGTAAACGCGATCCCTAACTAGAAAGAGAAACCTGAATAGGTTTGGTAATAGAAGCTTGACTTATTCAAAATGAGGGCCTATGATTCATATAAAATTTATCAAAAGGATCACTCATTCTCAAGATAGACCCAGGGTCAAAATTAATGTTTTTGTTAATTATTGTTCAAGCCATTCAGAGGAAGGTCGCGTGAAAAGAATTACGATAGAAGGACGCATAAAAGCCCAAATTATTACCTCCAACAAGAGAGCAATGTGTGATTGAGATACAACACATTCAACCACAGGAACGGTTTTTATTTGATTAAATACTGGTGGACAACAGTTTGACGAGGTTATACCTCGATTATATTTGTCAGCCATCTCCTTAAGCCTAAAATAAAGAAACATGGAAAGAGAAAAAGAATGTTAAAAATAATAACAATAAGAGGGGAGAAAAAAGATAAAGGAAAAAGAGAAGCTTTAGCCAAAAAATAAGGGTTCAAATTTTTCACATCTAATTCAATTATTAATTGACCATTTCTTCATTCATAACATAGGCCATCAAGGGACAATCAAAAAAGTCAATATTTAACATAATTACCTCTCATTGATTTGGTCATCATTAGCAGGCAAAGGATATAAAACAAAGTGCATTGACGTAGACATGGTTACTTCCACTTCTTATTATTCTCCTTCTAACTGATATTAGAGGATAGGACTGAGAGCAGGGTTACACATATACAAATTAATTTGTTGATTTATCTCTTCCCTTAATAACAGAACAAAGCCCTCCCAAATTATTTAATTTATTCAAATTAAATTTGAATAAAGAATCTTTTAAATTTTGCTTATTTACTCCAAAACTTTCAAGTTGAACTAGGATAAAAGGGGTAAATGATCAAATTGATCTATGATAAAATTATTTATCAAAGGTAAAGTAGAGGAAAGGAAGAATCAAAAAAGGAAACACCGAAAAACACAAAAATATAGAATAAGGTATCACATAATTATAGTTAAGATTAACAACCAAAAAACTAATTCAATGTTGCTTTCACAGTCTTTACAGCACAAATAGTGAGGGTTTGTGTTGTCAAAATAGTGAATAGATTTTGTGCTTTTCCTTAGCACAAATAAATAAACTGCGCATTCACTTTCTTTTCCCTTATGATTCGCCAGAAGGAGATGATTGAAAATTACTATAATAGAGAGCGCTGATGAAACCAATTGTTAATTCAAATAATTCACTAATTATATGCAAACATTGTAACAATCTTACAATCTTGTTAGATTGATTGGTTAATGAGTATGCAAAGGGTATGCTTTAGTTTCAAAACAGCGAAAGCAAATGAGTAAAAGACGAAATAGCACCAACTTGATATCAATTAAATTCACATTCTCATGCGATTTATCGAAAAGTTGAAACTAATTTTCACCAATTTAACTGACATTTAGATACTTTTGTCGATTTATTGTCTTTTGCTGCTTTGACCAATCAACGTTCACTTTAATTAGGAATAGATAAATAGCTTTATTGATTAAAGAGCAACCGATTGGCGAGTTTCTCCTTTCTTCTGATTTCTAGCCACATTCTTTGTATTCACCCTGACTAGTTTGCACACCTTAAAAGATGGAAAATAAACTCGTTGTATCTTAATCTTAATGATTTGCTCCCCTCACTTAACCTACCACTTAATCTCTGGAAATTAAAATTAAATTCAGCTGACTGTTGAATTAATTCTGATATTAAATTCAAATATTCCTTTCCATCGATTAATATTGATTAGTTGGTATAATTGCGACATAGATGACATTGAAATTCAGCATGCTATTTAAATCTCACTTGAGGCAGTTTCCTTCTTCCTATTCATTTCCATCCATTTTTATCCTCTTTCTTCATCAACTAGAATTATTGACTTTGTTTGCCCTTAGGATCATTGGAATTAAATTAAGCATAGGTCAACTAGACTATTTCATCTTCGTCACAATGCTAATGCAAAACACATGACCTTAAGTGGTTTACAATTAATATAATCCTTTGTTTACTCATTTGAATGTTCATATTTGGCGCAATTTATGCTGTTTTCTTTAAAAGCGTCTTATGTTACCATGGAAATAGCATAATCAGCAGAACCAGATTTGGTATAAAATAGTTTCCACTTCCGTCGATACGCATACTTTGGTTTATAGACTTTTAAACTTTCGGATCAACAAAAACTTGTCTCTTGTAGAGATTTTTGGTATCTTCTCACCATCTTGGAACCTATTTATTGTCATCATCATCTTTTTGTGATATTTTAAATTTTATTTAGATTCTTTTCTATTTTGTTTAATACATTTCTTTGATTGTTTTTTTTGCCAACTCGTCTTCCATACTAATTAATCATGCGTATATACAAGGATATGATCACTGGTGACGAAATGTTCACCGATTCTTCTAAAATCAATCTAATCGATGACTGCCTTTACGAAGTAGTTTGCCAACATGTTGTCCGTAAGGAGGGAGAAATCCTTTTGGACGGTGCCAATCCATCTGCTGAGGAAGGTGGTGATGAAGGAACTGATGAACACGTAGAATCTGGTCTCGATTTGGTCCTTAATCAGCGTCTAGTAGAAACTGCTTTCAACAAAGCTGATTACATGAACTATCTCAAAACTTACACTAAGACCTTGGCCGACAAATGGAAGGAAGAAGGTTTCACTGAAGAACAAATGGCCGATGCTAAAGCTAAAATTACTGAAGCTGTCAAAAAGATAAGACCAAAACTTAGTGATTGCTCATTTTACATGGGTGAAAGCGCCAACCCCGATGGAATGGTTGCCCTTCTCGACTACCGAGAAAATGCAGATGGCAAAGGTGAAACTGCTTATATGTTATTCTTTAAACATGGTGTTATCGAAGAAAAGGTTTAATTGCTGAGCAATTAGCCACTCCTCAATATGTTCTATCAATATTGAAAGAATTCAAATTTAATAAACTTATATCTTGATCACCGAATGAAATTTTGATTCTTTATTCGTGTTTGAATTTTGTTTTAAACTCTATTCAATTCAGTAAACTCGCGTTTTCTTCATTTTGATCTTTCTTTTGTTCCATAGCTTCGTTAGTAAAAGTGGTTTTCCATTCACCCAACTTTTCATATATCTTTGCTAGCAATGCGTCTTTTCTCCTTATTTCGGCCTCCATTTCACAAATTTCCTCTTTAACTAATTCATCAGGGTTAAGGTTTCCAAAAATCGTTTTCCACCTTACAAAATAAAGTTCCATTGCTCGAGCATTATCAGCAAATTTAGGAACTAAATGCTCCACAGCAGCTCTATGGTTCTCTACACTAGGGTTAGGTGGATTTTCAAAGTCAAATCGCAATGGACCAAACAAATCTACAAACGACCTATGGAACTCTTCATATAAATTTTGTTCTGTAGCCTGTCCAGAATTAGGTGCACCAGTAGGTTGTGAAGCAGCCATATTAGAGACAATCTCTGAAAAGATAAACAAAGGATGTTAGCATTTAGATGACAGTAGAATATTGTAAAGTTGCTTTGCCATGAATAATTTTACAAACCTAGAGATCACAACTGAATTAAATGAGAAGCGACAATTTGAGGGACATTCACGTAAAAAGAACGGACTAGCCCGAAAACTTCAATCAGAGTTCAAATCAAATTTTCCTTTAAATTAACTAAAGATAATCGCATAGATGTCACCACCAAAATTGAAAAAAACAACAAAGGAGATAGAAGCGGGATTTTCAAATTTATTTGAAAATATTTCATTGTATTTCATAATGAAATTTTCATTCATAAAAAAATCAGTTAAGACATGATTTGAAATCATTTTATCAAAACTTACCCATTGATTGCGCTTAATAAATGTGTGGGCATAAGGTAGAATAAAACTTCAAAAATTTAGTTAACCATTGATTTCAATTTCAACCATCAATTCTCAATGAACTGATTAATAATGCTTGAACGTTTTCAGCTTCATGAGTTGATAAAACTAAGGTGAAAAATTTGTCAAAAATTATTCTTTGGTCTTTTCTTCCATTCAATTTTATAGTTTTAGATTTTGAATAAACATTGGATTTCTCACTCCCATTCACTCAGTTGCTTTTTGTTCCCATAAATTCAAAGATTCATTCAGAATGAGAAAAATATGATCTAAAATGTAACAATATGCAAATCCAGATATGATAATCCAGATGATTAGAGTGATTGATTAAGTTCAAAATTAAAATCTTTTTTTTAATGATGTCAAGAGATGCAAAAATTTCCAAATTTTAATCAAGTTTATTTTTTTGATTTTATAATGGCAATAGACAAAATTGAATTGATTGGTAAATATGTTAAGAGTAAAATATAAAGATGAAAAGACTAGAAAAATATCAAGAAAATGTATAAAACGAGTATCAGAATAAACCTGATAGCTTGATAATATTCAAAAAATAATCATTGAGTTGAATGATAATTGTTTGAAAAAAAAGTTGATTGAATAAATGGCATAAAAATTGTATAATATTGGTGAAGGAAATGATATAAGAGAAAATAATTCATAGAAATGATTGAATGGCAATGAATGAAACAAAATAATATGTGATTGTGAACTAGATTGACCTCATCATGGGCATAACCATAATAATGCTTTGGAAAGACAGATTTAAATGTCTTATTTGAACCCGCTATCGCATCTTGATTGGCGATTGAGAAAACTAAAACTCATCTATTACTTGAGAGTAACCATGATTGAGTGTTAATTGAGAATGGACAAGCAATTTGATACTTTAGACTAGAAAATATTTTATACTAGAAATTAGAAAAGTAAGAATTGATTTATGGGTTCAATTGGAAACAAAGTAATTAAGCTAATCAAAGCAAGATTTTGGTTTATGCAAAATAGATAGAATATAGTTGATAAAAATAAAATTGGTTATGAATACTATGATAAAATTATTGGAAAATAGTGACTAATAATATTTGTTATACATGTTATGTATATGACTGAAGAAGATTCGAGCTCATTCGACAGTTAATCAGTCGAAAACTTGCATCTCTAGGATTTCCACTGATAGAGATTATGTCCAAGGCACTTTGGTGAATGAGTTTGATCATCATTGATTGAAGTACGATTTAGAAGTATATGATTCTGTTGATAACAGCTTGTCGTCTTTCCTCTGTTTGAATTGTCCAGAAAAAGATACTCAATAAAATATTTAACAGGTTACAAGAATAATACGGCAGGATGATTTGGTTGACACTTTGTGTTGAAAAAAATAAAAAAACAAAAATATGTTGTTTCTTTTCAGGCAGAACTCAGGGTAAATGATTTTGAAGAGTTGATTGTTGTGGCTTGTGAAACGTAAGTTATTGAACCACTGGTTGAACGGTTTAATCTCATGCACGAAGAATCCTCGTGTTTATAAAGATAGCTTTTCAGAGTAAATGCTTTACCACAACGTTGACACACATATGGCTTAACAGTTGAATGGGTTTGAATATGAGCTCTGAGATTTGATTTGTCCGCAAAGGCTTTTGAACATGTTGGACATTTGAATGGCCTTTCACCTGTAGAATCAAAATTTAATGATTAGTGGGTTCATTCAATGATTCAATCAATGTTTTCGTTACTTACCGGTGTGTGTTCTGATGTGACCCTGTAAAAGCCATGGACGACTGAAACATTTTCCACAATATGTACATCGACAGCCTTGTTTATGAGTCCGAAGATGCATACTATAAGCTGGCATTGATACATATACTTTGTTACAGTGAGGACATTGGCGAGCTTTTTTGTCAGTGAAGCTTCTATGAGTTTGACGATGACGCGCCAAGTTAGATGATGTACTGTATCGCTTACCACAATCAATACACACATGATTATCACTGGATGGTGATGATGTTGAATTATCAGGTGTAGAAAAATTTTCACGAGATTCTTCTCGAGAAAACGAAACATCCTCGTTTCTTTCAATCTATAAACCATAGAGTAGATAAGAAGATAAAATAATAAAGTTGTTAGTTTAATAGTAAAAAATGAAGTAAATTAAAGGTTCTGTATTGATATCTTACCTTGAAGATGTTTTCATTTGTGTCCAAAGCTGGTGAACATTGTGATCGGTCTGATTCATCTTTAAAATCAGAATACTCCATGCTTGTTTGAGAGACATCAGGAGATCTGCAATTATGGCGACTATGAATACTTAGATCTTGCGCTTCTTCCTGGGCCGTGTCATCCAAATCGTTCATCATTTGAACATCATCTGGACTAAAGTTATCAACTCGCCTTTCATCGATAATCAAGTTGATTGGTTGAACTGAGAAATCGACACCAAATGCAGGATGAAATCGATCTAAATTGAAAGTAACATTTATCAAATTGATGTTATTTGATTGACATTTAAAATGTTTCAAAATTTACTTACCCATAATACGATTTTGTCCAATGTGTCGAGTTAGAGCGGCATGTCTTAAAACAGAGATCCTTGAACAGGTGATGTGATTTTTATCCATCGAAATGGGCATTGTATCGTCATTAGACAAGTTACTCAATCCATGAGTCTCATAATTTGCGGATAGTTCAGCAATAAACGGTGACGCGTCATTAAATGGTAACTCGGAGGAGTCTATTTAAAAGAAATAAATAAACACAAAATTAAAAAAGCTATTAATTTGTAAAAAGCGCTAGCTTAGAAATTACATAAAATAAAAAGCTAAACATTACAGCTAAACTTGTAAGCTACAAGCTTTTAGCTGGCTTTTGTTTTGAACTGATGTCATCAACACAAGCTGAACAAATGGCTATCTAAACCCATGGCTATTTATATGGATTTTATAACAATGAGTAAATAAATTTAAACCTTTTTTTGAAGCTGAAATCTTTTTGATTTCCATCTTAAAATTTTGTTTACAATTTAAAATCAAGTTTTTCACTATATTCAATGTTTTGTTGGTTAGTGAAGTATAGTAATGGTAAGGTAACGTTGACTGGGTTTATTAATTATGTAACTTTCATGCAAAAAGCTTAAAACTGTTCTTTCTTTTCCTCTTTCCCTTAGCTTTTAGATGATGGACAGAGTCAAGTAAATGGTTCAAGACAGATCGCCTTTTAAAAGACTGTAAAAGGGCCAAGGTTGATGATGAGGAGATGAAGACGATGATTTTTCCCTCTAAGATGAGTCTTGTGGATAGAGTATCTTAAGACATGAGTAAGACAATGAAGAAAGAGAAGAAAACCAAATTAATGGTCCTGTTTGTTTACGAGTTCATTGAAAATTGACTCCTGTCAACCATATGAGAGTTGGTATATTTACATCTCACTGTGCAGTCAAGAAACATGAAGGAAAAGAGGACACGCGTTCGCGTGTCTACCTCACCAATGTCTTTCAACCTCTGGCTCGTGTCACAGGAAAGTTAACGAATCAAATTGACTCAGCAATCAAGTGAGGACTCCTAACAATAACAAACAAGAGACCTGAATGTCTTGAAGGAAGGAGAAAGTCTAAGAGTATCAATAAAATACTTCCGTTTGGTATCTTCTTTCCGCTTTCCGTTACTCTTTATCACCAAAAAAAGCTGGATGACCTCTTCAACTTTACCGTAGACAAGTGAGGCAAAGAGTAACGACCCTTCGATGAAATGGATTGTACGAGCAATGATAAATCCTTCCTTTCGACCATAAGGTTACAAGTGTTTTCCTGTTGTTATTGCAAACTGATATTTCGTCTTCACTCATCTTTTCAAACATTTCAACCTGACCCAGCCCGATTCTAGATTCATTAGCATCATTGGAATCATTGCTTGTTTATAAATCTGTTTCCATTATATGGAAATAGTGGAAAATTGTTTATTTACAAAAGACCACAGACCTTTTTGACCTTCATCAACATGCGTTCCCATCTGGGTTGATTAACGTTATATAAATAATATAAACGTTTTCTTCTCTCACCCGATTTCTTGGTAACCATTTTTGATAAAAATTACTGCTTCATTTTCATCTCTTTCTTGCCATCTTTCTAGCCACTGATGTTAATAAAGATGATGATCAACAAAAGGAATTACAAGCACCAATGGAACAAAAAATAACCAAAAAGCAAAGAAAATAATTTGCAGATAACGGGGGTGAAACTAAATTGACCGAACCAGGACCAGATCTCTAAACATTTAGCTCATAAGCAACATTCATGCTTTGCAAACTTGCAGCTAAAAAATCTTATCTCAACCTGAACTTCTTTGTGTCTGGTAAAGCCTAAAATCTGTGAGTTTAATTATCAATAATTAGTATCAAGGAAAAAGACTCGTGTCTAATATTTACTTTTTTTTAAATTACAGATCATCTTTACCTATCCTCGTGTCCAATAATTTAAAGAGGAAACATCGTTTTACTCGTTATTTACTTTCTTGGTAAAACAAATTGACTGCGAATCAAGAGCAATTAACTGTTGAAACTGTTCATTCTTCCTGGTGATTTTAACACATTTGAATATACATTTCGACTGAACTTCAAAGCTAACAACATGATCTTATGAAAACAACAAATTTAAAAGACGACTTGCAGATAAAGACTTAAGACAAATTTCAGACGTGAACATTTAAAATGAACTTTCAATGGTAGTCTGTCAGTGACTTGTAAATTACATTTTCCTTTAAACCGTTAACGATTAATATTACCTTCTTTTTTCACCCAATTGTGAAAACAAAAATTACACTAACCTAATCCCTTGAAAGTTTCCCAAAAAAGCTCAAATCGACAAGTGAGACGAACAAATGTGAACCAAAGATGATGGTAATGATAAAGTTGAAAGGGAAACAAATTCTGAAAGCATTCAAAGACCAAGTTTAAGGCTATTTTGGCTGCAACGGTAATGTTGTTGATGTTGATTTAATGATGTTGGTGAAATTTTTTCTTCCATCTTCATCTTCGACTTGATCTTCGTTTTCTTTCTTTCTCTCTCTTTTTCCACCCTCAAACCCACCCTCACTTTGATTTTCCTCTCTCCTTCTCTTTTCTACCCTGAGTTGGTTACTTTGGCATGAGGCCAGTAACACTACTTTACAGAGTCAAGTTCAACAAGCAAGTTTCAAATAAAGATGAGCTTGACTTGTATAATAACCTCTAAATAAGTTGACGGGGTTGGTGGATCAGGCCTTTCACACATAGACACACATTAAGGGAAGAATGAAATAAGCAAAAGTAGAAATATCTTCCATAATTTCCAACGTCTACATCTAAATCATCATCTTCATCATCATCATCACCAACAACATCAACATTCTCTTCCTCCGGAAATGGGTCTCTAGAATGAGCAAGCTTACTTTATCATCATCTTTTTCGTCTAGGCTTAAGATTTTCAAACTGAATTCTCATCTTATTTTTTTTCTTCCTTTTCTTTCTCACCGTAGTTAAATCATTTGGACTGGATTTATCGAAATACAATACAAATCTTTGGAATGGGAAGGTTGCTCAAAGTTTCCATTTCTTCTTCTAGCATCAAAGCCAAAGTCAAAGGAATGGAACCGTTATTATATTTCCCTGTGAAATGTTTCAATGTCAACTTTTGCATTATTTTCATTTGCTATTACGTCAAGATGAAAGACAATATTGTTTCAGTGCAAGAGCAAAGTCCTCAACTTTGCTCGTATTTTGGCTTTTACGAAATACCGATTATGCAGAAATCTGGAAACCCCAATCTCTGGCAACTTTAATTGACTTTGTTAATTTTAATCAGTCGTTTAAAAACAAAATAAGAACATTTTAATCAACTTTTGTGTATGAAAAAGTTGTCATAAATTAAAATGGAAATCAGAAGATTAAGTGAAATTATTTCATGGGATTATTGATTGTAATACTAAATAAGCAATTTGATTTTGAAACAAGTTGTATCATTATTAATAAAGGCTGAAAATGTGAATACTTTTAGTATTCCTTTAAACCTTTCTATTGTCAGATGATTGTGGCTTCAAAAACTGAGTTCAAGGGTTAAAATGAATTACTATTTTTCCGTATTCAACCATTAATTGCAAGAATCAAATTAAACTTCAACTTACCCTGATTTAAAATGTAATGAGACGGACAATTCTCGACATCTTCCTTTGAATCGGTTAAAATCCATCGACCATTGTAACGTTTATTGGTGATTAAAAAAGCTCTCGGCATTTTGATAACTTAATTGTAAGGTGTTTGGTGAAGGGTTATCGAATGAACTTGTGAACAATTTATAATAATTGATGAATATTGGTGTTGATTGTTTGATAGTAAAAAAAGTTTTACAAACTGAGTAAATAAATTTGGCGCATCAAAAGTTGAAAAGTCAAGGAAAGTGAATAAAAATTGTAAAAGTAAAACTTTTTGTGCTTTGCTTTAAAGTGATCGAACTCAAACAGATGAACGAACTAAGACATAACACAGGCTGAGATGATGATAATGAAGATGAAGTAGGAGTGAGTAAAGAGATGATTTCAGTGAAAAAGTAACTTGGAGAGTAAAACGAATTCTGTAGTAAAAATAGAGTTTTGTGAAAGAAGAAGAAAGGAAAGAGAATTGATGATGAGATAGAAAGAGGAAGATGAAAATGACAGAGAGGAGAGGAAGAAGGGCCAAGTGGCAGAAGAGAGCAAGAAAAGAGAAGAGACTTGAAGATCTGATTCCTCAAAGGCCCTTAAAATCATCAACACGATACTCGTCCGAGGCGGAAAAGGTCACTTTCTGTGTTACCTTCTTCTTCTCTTAACTTCTTAAAATCATCTTCCTCATCATATTGGTCATCTTCGCCTTTATTTTCATCCAAAACAACTTTCCTCTGTTTTGCTTAATATGATAATGATATCTTCGAGATTTTATTCAAGTTTATTTTTTGATCACTCAATCTCTACATTTGCTTTCATCAAATTGGTTAGTTCAAGCTCGATTATTATTATTTATTGACACTAGAATCCATTGACCAACAATCTTCTGAATATTAGGAATATTTTAATTCGTTAAACACCAATAAAAAAGCATTAAAAAACGACCAATCCTTCAATAGTTGTAACAAGTAAAGTAATATCTATTACTGTAAAATATGAATAAAAATAAAGAGTGACAGTGTGCTGGTCAAACATTTTCGGATTATATTTTGATTCGTCTTGAATTTTTCTGGATCAATCCGACTACGAATTGAATTTCAATTGATGAATCTTCTTTCTTGTAGCAAAACTTATAACTCAAGTATAAACTTGAAGTTATTTGAGTTATGCTTTTAGTTTGAGCGTAGCGAACATTATGCCTGATTATACTCAAGATTTTTATCCAATTTTCATGTTAAATCTTAAAATTTCAATAAAAACTTTCGTTGGTGAACATAAATTTTTAAATTGTAAATAATCAAAAACTAAAAACTAAATCCTTCGCTTCTGTCGAAATGAAAAGATAATTAGTGAAAGGTGAATAATGTCATCATAGTCCATTTTCAGATTAGTTTTTGACAATTTAAAACAGTTTAATGAAAAAATAGACAAACACTTCTACATCTGAAATAAGAGTTGAGATTGATTGTGTTTGTAGCAATTTTTTGGCCAAATTGGCACCATTTGCCATCAATTTATTTTCTGTGTCAAGATTTTTAACTGAAACTCAATTTTACCAGCTGTTTATCATCTTCATCTTTTCATATCAACAATTATTCAGGGTTGGACTGGAGAGTTTACTAACAAATAACATTCTCCAGTGTAGTTAACGGTACTTTTAAAGGCAAAAATGACTTGGTTTACGTATAACCTCTGCTTTGTTGCTGCAACATTGAGTGAAAGGAATCTTCTTCTTCTTTTTTTCCTCATCCTCATCATCTCTATCTCTCTCTCTTAGGTATAAGATGGTCTTAATTTGCCATGTTATTTACTTCTCTCTCTATCTTTCTATCTTCCTCTTTTCACCTCTGAAGGACATTGATATTGTAGACGAACACGCGACAAGTAAATAGCTCTTTCCATTCCACGAGACTTCATCTTGTTCGTCTTGACATTTAACATCCCTTTACCAACCTTTTGACCTTAGCTTATAACCTTTTTGCTGAAACTCTGAATCTTTATTTAGCCAACAATTTACAGTATATCTTCATTTTTATCTTAAATACAATGACCTGCAACCGTCTTAGATAATCAGTAATGAGAGCTTAAAGTAATATGCTTTAGCTACGGATTTAATTTCATCAACATTTTAATATGACAGTCAAAGCAGCCTATTCACCAATTTTCATCAAATTTTCTCGTTAGTTGAAATTTTTCGAGATTGAAACTGATTGCTAGCCAGTTGAAGTTGAATTGGAAATTATATAAAAAAACTATTTCAATAAAGTTGATCAGATCATTGAGAAATTGCTGCTATTAATGATCTCATGAGCCTAACAGTCGCAGCCTTTTAAGCCAGCCATTATGTTTCATTTACATATAATCAACAATTTATCGCTCAACTATGATTTTTCGGAAACTTTTTTCATGCTAAAGGGCTTTAAAAAAAGACACTAGATTTTTATCGAAAATGTTAATGCTAAATTGTATAATTTAAGTAAGATTTAGAACGACAATCAAAAACTACTTTGAAAGAGACTTTGATTAACAAAAACTTACAAAACTTGGTTTTAATGAAAAAGTGTAAAGCCTCTCGTGGAGGCAGCAGCTGTTGTGCCGCTTGTGGGTACATTATTTTGGGATATGATTACATTATTTAGTTGTGTTGTTAGATGAGAATTGAATAACATCGTTACAGATAGTTTTTAGTAGCTTATAACATATTTTCGGTTTTGAGAGAGCAATTTGAGGCAGAGTTAGATGATTTAAGTATTCGGGAATCGTTGGTCTGACAGAGGAGTAATAGGTACAATGAGCAATGAGGTGTATGTTATCTGGTGTGGCAAAGCCACATTTGCATGGATTTTTGGTAGTTATAAAATTGTAGGTTCCTAGAATCAGTCTCAGATGAGCATTAGTAAAGGTGAAAGAGTTTAGTTTTTTCCATTTGGGCAGAACTAGTTCCATGTTTCTTTCTTTTCTTTGTTGAGTTTTTTCTTTCCAGATTGTCTGAGTTATTTCTTCACTATATTGTTTGGTCATGGTGTTGCCATTGCACCATGTTGAGTCTGATTTTATCTGTAAGTTGAATTTATCATAAAAGGAGGTTGTTAATGGGTGAAAGTTGTTATTTAGTTTTAAGTCAAGTAATTGTTTTATTCCAATCTTTATGCAGTCTAACCATGGAGGATCAATTCCCAGTGCAGCAAACATAGCCATTACTGAGTCTTGTCCTTTGATTCCAAAGATTGAGTAGAAATTAGTTAGAAGTGCAGATGAGCATCTTTCTCTAGATGATGTGCATTGAGTAAAGAGAGGAAGAAGCACTAGGGAATAAGGGGTGAGTTTACTATATACAAGTGATTTCAGTATCATGATTTTGGTTTTATGAGGAAGACGTTTGAGGATGTGACTATTTGTGATTGTTTTCAGTGTACTAGCTTGAAGTTTAGTTATTATACCAGGTACATCAGCATAGGAGTCATATTGTCTTTTGTATTGAATTGGAAGTCCTAGACATTCTATATTGTTTGATATGATCAGATTGAGGTCTTTAAAATTGTATTTAGCTGATTTACTTTGAAGCGTTGAGTGACTCAGTAGCAGCTTCGTTTTAGGAAGTGAAGCAGACAGCGAGATTGTGTTCAGCAATTTGTTGAGTTCATTGATGATGTCTTTAACAGTCTTAGCTAGGAAACCTGAGTGTTTGATAGCTCTTGTGTCACATATTCTGATGAAAATGTCATCAGCATATGCGAAGAACTTGAGGTTACAAATAGATGGTGATTTTTTGTGATTGAAAGTATCAAATTGTAGTTGGTTAATAATCGGATCTATTCCAATGATGAAGAGAAAGGGACCCAGGATCGAGCCTTGTGGGACTCCTTTCGTGTTGATTTTGTAGAATATCTTGTCATCTTTTTGTTGAATTTGAGTTCTGTCTTTCAGATAATTTTCCAGAATCTGATGATATTGAGCTGACGGACAGGTTTCAATGAGATAATTTAGAAAGGATGAATGTTCAATGTGGTCAAACGCGCCAATGACGTCAGTTTGAAGTAATACCAATGAATCAGATTGACATTGAAATATGTCGAAGAGACATGTTGATATGGATTTCTGAGGTAAATAGGCATACTGTAGACTAAAGATGTTGTTTGGTAATGATGACATTATTTGGTTCTGAATGATCATCTCCAGAATTTTGCCAAAGTTAGAAATTGTTTGAATATTTCTAACTCTTATGTTGTCCGATTTAGGGATGAAAGTCGATTTGCTGATTTTCCAGCATTTTGGAAAAATGGAGTTACAAAGTAACATGTTGTATAGATTGGCAAGAAAAGTGATATTGTCTTTAAAAATTTGGATGGTGGTCTTTTTATCAATTTGGTCCGGACCAGGTGAGGTATCATTGAGATTTTTAGCCAGCTCTAGAAGATAGTCTTCAGAGACTTCATTGTTGTGTGTTTTTAGGGATTGTGGAGTAATTGATGAGGTTGTAAGTAGGTCTTTAAGCGTTGTTACATGGAAGTTGTTCAGTTCATCTTCACAGTTTTTGTTGAACTCATCAGTGAGGTATGTTTTATCTTTGAAAATGTTGTTGAAGTTCTTCCAGATTTCTTTGCTTTCACATTGCTTGGTGTTGAAGTTATTGTTAATGCCTTCCAAGATTTGACCATGCATTTTTGATTTAATCTGTTTTAACTTATCTTTTAGAACTTGACTTTTATCATTCTTTTTGATGAGATTTTTCAGTCTATTACTCTCAGCTATAAGATGATGATCAATGAATCTGTGAAGAGGATTTTTAGCTTTGACTTTTCTTGTGCAGCTTTTGGTGATGTTAGTGATTTTGATGAATATGTCAGCTACCAGTTTTTCCAGATCTTCTGTGTCTTCAAGTTCATCCAGTTCAGGTTGATATTTGAGAAGATGATTTATTTGTTGTGTTTGTTTGGTTTTGTTTAGAACTGTGACTGTTTTGAGTTCACATTTTTTTCTCGATGATAGTGAGAAAGTTATCACAAAAGATCTGTGATCACTAGTAGGATCACTGAGGGATTGTTGAATGGAGGATTTCCGAAATAGTTTATGAAAGTTGGTGAAAGCAATATCAATCCAGGTATGAGAGCCATTGATAGAAGAGATGAAGGTATAGTTTTCTGGTGATGGTTCCATTATTGCTTTAAGGTTGTAGTTTTGCAGCATATTAGCAAGGATATTGCCTTTGTTGTTGTTGTGCTTGTTTATGTTGAAAGACCATGAGGAATGGGTGGCATTGGAGTCGCCAGTTATTATGATTGGTGAGTCTTGGATGGTTTTGATGAAGTTACCTATTTCTATGACTTGTTCATTGTATTCCTTGTCAGAGTGTTTTGGGTTTATATATATGTTGATGATGAACAAACTTTTGTTTGATATTTTAATTTTGACAGCAGTTGAGTCATTAGCAAGTCGAAAGAAGTTGGCACAATATTTTTCTTGTACAATTATGGCGGAATTACCATGACAAAAAAGGTTACATTTTTTGTTAGCGATCGCAAGAGCTACTGATGATGATGTTTCTTGGATGGTGATGATGTCATGTGTTTCAATGAGGGTAATTGCAGATGAGGTTAAGTGTAATGATTTGTTGCAGTTATGATTATAAAGTTTAAAATTATTGAGTATCATCTTCTTCCCAATCAGTGATGCTTAGGATTCTTTTGCGTTCTTGTTGATAAACTTGACAGTTTTTAGATTTTGACTTGTGTTCTGCTGGAAGGTGGGCTAGGGAGCATTGACCACAATGGTTTTCCACAGGTGGATTTTCTGTTGATGGATGTATGCAGTGGTGAGCAAGATGACCAACTTTGAAGCAATTAGTGCAAAATTTAACATGTACATCTGTTTTGAAACTAGTACTGTGTCCACCCATATAAACCTTTCCTCTCTGAGCAAGCCATGTCCGATTTTCACGTGAGAGTCGAGCAATTACTTTGGTCTTTTCGATTTCTTTGTGAGATTTAAAGTTGATCGTTTTGACAAAGGTACAGGTTTTATCAGGTAAACTATTTCTAGCTATGAAGGTTTCTTCACTTTCCAGTTGATCAGAATTAACAATGAAGGATATTTGTGGTAGCAGCTTCTTTGTTTCACTGATCGTTGTCTCGTTGGGAAAATTTAAACCAGATAATTTTGAGGGTAACTCAGGATCAATGGAGATAATCCTAACGCTCTTCTCTCCAACATGAATGGAGTCAACTGCTATGTTGGAATTTTCCTTCACGTGTTTCTTAACAATCTCACCAACTTTAACATTGTCACAAGAATCCACAGGTTTAATTAGGAAGGTTTTTCTAGTTTTAGATTTTCTCAAGTTAGCAGGCACATTATTAACTTTGTCAACATTAATGGTTTTGATTGAGTGTTCAATCTGATTGAGTTTAGTTAAGACTTGACTTTCGTTGTTTATCAAGGTAAGCACGTGTTTAAACCTGTTTTCAATGTCATCAACGTGCTTCTCTTTAGTCTTGGGGGCTATGAGAGCTAGCATGAAATCTTTGATGTTGATTAACTCTTCAGCAATTGAACTAATCATTTGAGTATTTGGTAGAGTGGTGTCTGATGAGGTATTCGACATTTTTGGAACAATTTAAAGGTTTGAAAAGATGAATTAATTAATAAAAATTAATTAATTTTAAGCACAAATTTAAAGCAACTTCACCTTGGTTTATTGAGTGAGTATAGCTTTGATTTCACATCACTAGATGGAGGCTGTGACAAACAGTTCAACTGTCAACTCAAATGCGATCTGGTGAATGAATCAAATAACGAACCAAAATATGCAAGGATTAATCAAGACAATATGGGAGATCCTGCGCGATCCTGAAGAGTTGGACAAATATTAATAAATTAATAATTCATTCATTTTATTACAAATTATTACCAGATAAGATGGGCCAATTAATGGTAAAATTACTGTAGCTCAAGATTGCAAATTGACAAATAACAAAGCAAAGATACTCGAGTCTATCGTCGCTTTAATTTACTTCGTCGTCACATCGTCACCTCCTGCACCAAACCTATATCCGCTTGCTATATCACCCACATTACCTAGGGAAAGCCCTCTATCTTTTTCTAAGGAATCGGTTGATTCAGTCCAAACTATACCAAACAGAATACTGGTAGTTATGAAGAACCAGAAGGATAAAATTGTTCTCAACTGCATTTTAATAGTATTTGCTATAGTTGCAAAGATTTGTAAAACAAGATATAGCTTTGAGATTTCAAAGTAAACTGATAACATTAGCCTGATCTTCATTTCTTTTTATACTCTACTTTTTGACTGTTCAAATAATCAACATTATTGACATTTATTATTCAATTATATTTGAAACAATATAAAGGGTGTAACGCGTAAAAAGTTTAAATTATTTTGATTGATAAGAATGAAGACGAAATGCCTCTGATAAGAATGTCCATTTTAGTCTATTTCTCTGTCCGGTAACATTCTTATCATTGTCATCTTCATCTTCATTCTTATCAATCCAAGATAATTTAAACTTTTTACGCGTTACACCCTTTAATTTGAATTTAACCTTTTGAATGTAAATAGAAACTTTCTAGGCTTTGACACATCTTATTGTTGATTAGGAATAGTAATTGAAAATTGTTGCGTAGAAAGGGAAGAAAGAAAAAATTCAACATAATATATTAAATCCGTATCCTGCATCTGTTTCACAGTAAGCAGTATCAGTATGTTGAATTTAAAGTTACATTCTCATTATTCAAGTTTGCCCAGCTAACTATCGTACTGTATTTTGATAATCTCAATTTGATTTTTATTTGATTGACATAAATAGAGAGACGTAATTTTATTTTCAAAGCATTCATTGAATTCATTAAATCGTGATGGCTAAGTAAACCAGCTTATTACATTAAAAACACAGCACAATATGAAAAAAATCTATTATATTAAGTTATTAAGTCTTATTACAGTTTTGTATTTGTCTGCCAAAATTTATCCAGACTCAATCGTTTTATAAATTTTCTATCAATCGTAAGTAAATGTTTTGATATGAATGCCGCCCCTGCAATAAGACCCAACCATGAAACTTAGAACAACGGTGAAAAGGCTAAAAATTTAAAGTCAAACATCGTGTAAAAGTATAAAAATTGTGGCTAAATTAAACAGATTCAAAGAAAAATTTTTTAAAAAAAGCGCGGTTGAACTACATGTTCCAAAACAGAATATTGAAACGTAATCAGAATTCAGGTTACTAAGAAAGGACTATTCATAAAAACTTTGACTTTCAGTTTAAGAGTCAGGCATCAAAACTAAGTCTATTAAAAAGTGCTATAGAACTAATCATTTCTAGCATTTCTAAAAAAGGAAAACTTTCAGAGCAAGAGCAGAGTGAGAATGGCCCAAGAAGGGTGAGATGTTAGAGATGCAAGTGTTAAATCGACATCCCAAGTCAACGTTTGAAAGTACTCTGATAGGCAATAGATAAACTGGAAGAAGTTAAAGTACAATCAATTAAAAATATGCATCAGGTTAATTTATCTTTCCGTATTCTGATTTCATAGGCCTAATTATACCTGTATCTAATAGTTTCGTAACTGGAGGCGTGTTTGGTGGAAAGATATTCGTTGCTTCACATTTTTTTGCATGTCAATAATTATCAAGAAAAGAATAGCTTTTTGTTGCCTTTTTCGGAATAAACCATTCATTTCAATCAGTCATTCAGTAAAATATCTTATTCTAAACACCCTCTTTGATTTCGAAAGTATTATAATTTACTTTTTCAATATGTTGTTTGTGTTCAAAATATCGACATTTTTTACTTCCACCAATAACTAAAAGTTTAATTAGATTCAGTTAAGATTCAGTAATACATTACTAAAATGATATTCATCGTTAATTTAATTTTTTTGCTCATGTGAATCGATATAAATACATTGATAACATTAATTGACTTCAAATGCTAGAACTAACCACTTTTAATCAACGATAAAAATTCACTTATCGGTTGCATTGAGTAACTTTGAATTTTTTCTTGACAACTTCTTTACTTTCAATCATTTTTATCTGACAAATTATTGTTTACCTTTTTCACAGTAGCTGATGGTTAGCTGTCATTTTTGCTCATTTTGTTCCCTCTTTTGATTAACACAGATACTTAACAGCTCTTACGCTACTGTATTAAATCTCAGTCAATTTCATACATTGTAATCAATATAATCTCCAGTTTATCAAATGAATCTCCAGGTTAGTCAATCTTAAATAGGAACACCATCATGGATCTAAATTAGGATTACATTTGTTTGACCTAGAAGTTAAATTAAATTAATATTAGAGCCATAAAAGACATAGATATACGTTGGTTTAGTTTAATTTTATCCACTGTATTGGCTTCAGCAAACACTAAGGTTATTTTATTGTTTACATTTCTTTACTTGATTCAAGTTTACTTTAACAGTAACCATGAATTTCTTGCTATCATTTAATCATTATAATCAGCAGTCGTCCAATTTGATTTGCAGTTGTTCATTATACTGATTAGACCTGATCCAAACTTGGAATTGAAAGTATCCGAGATGTTAATAATATAAATCAAGAGATATCTGGCATGTTGAGAGGCAGGTTTTCCAAATAACTTGATGGACCGAATTGATATTGCAATTTTACTTCACAAATTAAAGCTTGGTATTAAACAATGATTGCATTGAGTTGTTTTAAATATACACTCATTTACTTTTTTAAATAAAAATATTAATTCCATTGATAATCAGTTGATGATTCGTCTTTGAGATGATGATTGTTCCATGTTTAAGTATTGATTTGATCGTCGGCTAAACGCTGTTTCTCTTTCATTAAGATTTTCTACATTCGTCACCAAGCAAACAATTTTAACAGAGAAAGAATGAAGAAAAAAAGGTAAAACAACTGTTAGTTAAGAAATTGAAATTTTAAATTCTGATGATAACTACAGAGATTCAGATTAACATCAGAATTGTTTCTGCAAGAATAAATTAAGATTATCAGTTGGATACTTTGCCCAAATCATGTTCTTCGGTGACTTCTTCCTTGAAATTAAAGAAACGACGTCGAAGGCTTCGTTTAATTAGCAAATGAACCTGATCCGAAAAAATGGAAAGTGTGATTAAAATATAAACAATGAACAAACTTTTAAAAAAAGTAATCTTGATGTGATTAAAGTTTTACTGAAATAATCAATGATTTTCATTACCTCAGAATTGCAGAAGCAAAGTAGTGTAGCTGTGATGGCTCCTTGCAGAGATGCAGACACAAGTCCAATGTAAAGTAAAATTTTAGGTATAACATCGCATGATTGAAGAAGAGTTGGCTCAATCAAGAAAAACAGGTAATGAACACCAAACACAATGATAAGTATTGAGGTTGCTCGCAAAGCTGAACGAAAATGATCCGGTGAGGCTGTTAATTTGGTGAAGAAGACTCGAATAATGTTTAACAAAAGAATGAGATTACCCTATGATGACGAAGAAATTAAAATGAAAAATTATTGAGGTAAAATAAGTTAATGGACTTGATTAAGATATTTACGATTAACGCTGTTAAGGGAACAACTGAATAGATCCAAGCAATGATTGGCATTGGTTGAGTCCAGCATTTGTTATTATACTTTGGCAGTGAATTAACAATGCAATAAGGTACCATTGCAGAAAGTGGAAGAATCCAGCCAAGAATATAAAATGGAGTCATACTTTTTTGCTCCCGGAAAGCAGCAACAATCATTTTATGAAGATAAATACCTTCACACAACATCCAGCCATAATTAGTTAAATTAGCGGTCCGATATAAAACATAGAGCATGATACACCAAGATTTACTGCATGCGAGAGTGAGGGAAAGAAGGGTAGAATATTAAAATAATATTTTATAAGACGAAAAAATAAACTGGTTTTCAAGAGTTACTTACTTTTCGATGATGATATTGTCCTCATGGGAATCGAGATGGGTATCAGTGACCGCAAGATTAAACAGTATTTGTGTTATCGATGTGAATATAAAGGAGGTGAAAAAATTGAGATGAAGACGAATCCGTAAAATGTTATATTGCTTGTAAAAAATGTAGATACCACAGGCCAGCAAAGACGCAAGGAGAGAAACAAAGTGTAGGCCCACACGCACATGAGATCGATAAAGGTTGTTCCGTTGTCCTGTGTAAGTACAACCCGAGTAGTCAGTCTTCTCCTCGCCAGCAATTGTAAGCCAACTTCCATTGGATAAACAACGCTTTACTGCTTCACCCCGAAGACAGACCGGTGGAAGTTCATCATGCCGTTGAAACGCAGAGTCAGGACACTTGTCAGTCAAAGAGGTGTCAGCCAACGCATAAGGCCAACAGTTCCAACCATCCCATTTAGCTTGACAGTAAGTTCGTCCATCTTAAAAAAGAAGAGATGATTGTAAGAGTAATCGAGATGACAATTATTAGGTAATTGTTAATAACAAGAGAGTTTCACTTTACATGAGTCTGTTTACATGGTTCAAATGTTGTCAACTGTTGAAAATAGAAAGCTGATTGGTTGATTTAATCCATATAAGTAATGCCATCTCTTATGTAATAAAAATTTATTATTTTCACTGATCGTATGAAACTATTTACACCATTTATTTTTATTTTTCACCACAAAATAGACTGATTTAGAGTTGACTGTATTATTATTATATTATTAGAAGTATTACAATGATTATTTATCCTTATCATTTTTTTTAAGATTGTTACTTTAGGCTCAATCATTGAGTCAATGAGAAATTACCTGTTCTTTATGAAGTGTGATTAATATTGATTAAGAGAAAAGATAATAACTAATGACATTTTTACTTAAAACACTGATTAAGTTTATGAGACTATGAACATTGGTACGAAAAAATACACAGTTCTCTATCCATGGACCTTTGGATTGCTACTTCTTTTTGTTGCTCTACAATTTGTTCACCTAATCATTGGATTAAATGATTATATTTACAAGTTAGTCGTATATTCCTCTTCCCCTTGATTCACCTTGTCGGCATGGATAAAAAAAGTTAAGATCTACTCGGGGAAAATGTTCCAGTTTGACAAATCATCGATAAACTCTTACCTTTTGGTCTTTCCAGTTTGGATAAAACGCCATTACAGCAGTTGATTGCATCTCGACAACATCCAATGAAAATATCCTTTCAAGATACAATAAGTGAATCATGTTCAGTTAAAACATAAACTCATTAAAGACTTGCTGTAAAAGTGTAAAACTTTAATGTTGAACTTACTCGAAAAAATTGATTCTTAAACATTTTCAATATCGGATCATCTTGAGGTGAGGTTAAATTGAAAGACCAATAGTCAACTGTTTTGAGTGGCTCATTTAAATTGAGTCGATTGCGGAGTCCACTTTTAGATTGACCTATTTTAGGTCGATAAGCGTACACTTTACCATTGACACTAAGATAATCCTTTTGAAATGCTCGATTGTCCATATAATGGAAACATTGAGCACACATGTCATAAGCAAAGTCACTTAAATTGTCGTATTTAGCTGGACGGTTACTTTGACAAGGAAAGTTAACCTGATCCAGATTATTCAGAGTATTGGTATAGACGACACTTTGAATGGTAAAAATTAACAAGATTAAAATGAGAAACATTAAAATAAATTAGATTGATCAATGAAAAAAAGGGTGAAAAACAATGGTTAAGACATTTTAAGTCCAATAAATTAGATTGAATGAAAAGGAAGAGACTAAAGTGAATCCAGAACTGAAGCAATTGAAAGCAGCAAATGATAATTAGTTAACAATTATAAACACAAGTATCGCTAGTGTATCTCACTTGACTCACTTTTCATTAACTTAAATAGTATTTGATATCAATTGATTATATTGGCTTACTTTATCATAACTCTTTCCCAATGTTATTAATACCTTTATATCAACATGATAGATCGGCTTATTTATAGTATTGCTAACTCATGATATTTTATCCCAATTTTTGGGATTCAACAATAAATCTGATTAAACTAGGATTTTTGTTAAGTTTTCAATCGGTATCATTAATGACAACCTTATCTATAAATTGAGAGGAATTAGTTGAAACATTTGATTGGGATTTATTGATTCAAGGCATTTATTAAAATATATGCAGCTTATAATTCAAGATGAACATTGATGTAGACTTGATTTAATTACAATTGAGTTGTATTACACTGGCTTTTACAATCACTTTTTTGTTTATATAAATATTGTAAGGAGCTTTTTGTTTTTCACTCAATTAAACTGTTCAGGGGAAATACAGTATAACAAGAAAATATTAAAATTATTGGTCGCTATGATGAATCCGATAATGAAAACCTTTTCGTTAATCTTTTGATACAACTTGAGCATCCATTTTCCCCTTTTTCGTCCTTTTTATTTCAACAATTGCGAATCATTGTCACTTATAATTTCAACTGGATCCACCCAAAGGGTTACCAAAAGAAGATTCGCATTGAAGTCGGTAAATGGTCAGTATTTGAAGTCTCGACATGATCAAATTCAATTGAACGCATTGAAAATGAGAGAAATGATGGCTTAAATTACATTGGTTTCATTAAAAATAAGACATAAGAGGTTCACAATATTATCTTATAATACAGTTGGATTAAAAATACAATTGAAATGACTAATTGAGAAGGGAAGTCTCACAATGGGATCACAATCAAATAGTTAGATATAAATTTTAACTCGTATTTGGTTTGTAATTTGTATATTTGAAATTTTGACTTAGATCATTCATTTATCTATTTAGATAGATATCACTATTCATTTAGAAAGGTAATTTGACCTAAATAATAATAACTTCATAGGTTAATTAGGTAACTAACTGGTAATAACTGAGTTGACTAGAATAAGTCAAGATAAAAGAAGTAAATAAACTTTCGAAAAATTAACAATCGTCCACAGACAAAAGATAAAACATGAACAAAAATGGAAAACATATGATTAAATGTTTGGTACGTGATGGAAAATGCTATGCAGGTCGAAATACCACAAAAAAATCTGATTTTCACGTCTTTACAGAAAGCTCATTCCTATGATTCAATTTACATCATATCTCGTCTTCAGATCGACATTGATCAGGAAAGATGGCACTCAAAAGTAAAGAAGATTAGTAAAATGAGGAAAAAGACGAAGAAAAAGAAGCTCGCGAATTACATATATTTTTATCTGAACATTCTGTGATAATTTTCTGATATCACCATTTTATCACGTCAGGATTAATTCTGCTGTTTTCATCTGGTCCTCTTATTTTACAGATCAATTTACTACCAAACTTCACATTTGTGCTCTGGATTCATTGGGCTATTCAGAGGACACTTGAATGTATCTGAGAATTCCTTCGAGTTGCTAAGAGTTCCAATGACACGGAATCTGTGCGGACTGTGAGGATCATTGAGGACTTGAAGTTTTAATGCTTCAGGTGTAGCAACAAAACACCAAACTTGCGCGAAACGAACGAAGAATATCTGTTTACTGGTTAAATTGACTCCGGGTAAAGCTGGTTCGATATTGTGTTGAGCCCAATTTTCATATGCCTGCAAAATAAAAAGCTTGTAATTAGTAAACGTAAATTTTTCATTTCATATTTAAATTTATCAAGCAACTAAGATTTAAATTGAATTTCTAATCTATAAAGTCAATTTTCTTTCATAGCTGATTGAAGTGACAAAACACCAAGAAATATCAAGTTATACAGAAATCTTATAATCCAATGGTTGAAAAATTTCAAGTAAACTCACATGGAATGCAGCTTTGAGGCCACCATTATCAGCCAAATTCTCCCCCAAAGTTCTTTCTCCATTGATCTGAAGGTGAAAAAATATTATCGAGATACAGTTAAACCCATAAAATTTAAAAATATGATGACAAATTGACCAATACTAACATAATCACCATTGATTTCATAAGAAGAATACTGTTTAACAAAACAATCTACACGCTGTTCAAAGTTTTTGATTGTATTGTTATTCCACCATTGATGGAGGTTACCATATTTGTCATAACGTCGACCTCTATCATCAAAAGCGTGCGTCAGTTCATGACCCATTACAACTCCCATTGCTCCAAAATTTACTGATTTGGGATAATTCACATCATAAAAAGGAGCTTGTAAGATTCCAGCAGGAAAAACTAAATACAATGAAGAAAATTCAGAAAGAAATAGATGTTAGAGGTTAAATGCTATTGGCATCGGTCAGATAACTTACCCATAGTGTCTTTGGTTGGTGTATAATAAGCATTGACAGTGGACGGTGTCATTTCCCATTCAGTTTTATTGGCCGGCCTCGTGATTTTTTCAATATTTTTTTTCAAAGCGAATTTGTTAACCCTAATGTTATTCTGAAAATATTCGTTTTCTTCAAATGTAAGCTACAAATAAATGGATGCAAAAAAATCATAAGTAAAATAACCATAAAAGCTGAAAATTACCAGGCAGACCCACAGAAAGTATTTGAATAGCTTTGTAGATTTACTGAATACACTAGTAGTAAGAAAATGACATCTCTGGCTCACTACCCAAACCGGTTTAGCCCGAGATATTTCACGATAAGTGAGCCAGAGATGTCATTTTCCTACTACTTAACGTTACATTCATTATCTTGAATAAGAAAATAAATTCAATTTGATCAAGTTTTATATTAGAAATATTTTTTTAGATCAATCACTATGAGTATCGCATCAAAATAATAAAGCGAAAGTGTTATTTTCATCATCATTTTACAAGATCTACAGTTAATCATTATTCATTACTTGTAATAATGATCTACATCTTGTATCAATTATTCTCTGTGGGTCAACCTATTAGCAGTGAATCACTTACTCCTTCATATTTTTCATTTAGTTTGGTTGAATTAAGAATGAAATCAGGAAAACCAATCATTTTGGTTATTGCATCAGCCTGGATAGTGGTAAATAGTGAATTAGTTTTACAAGTGAATTTATGTCGCAAATAATTGATATTATTTGATTTTCAAGCAATAACTTTACTTTTTCTTTGGCAAGTTTTCGAGTTTCTGTATCCATCCATCGGAGATTCGGGAGATTATCTTCAAAAGCTTTTCTAATTTGTTCAATCATGGCTTCGGCCGTTGGCTTTGATTCACCTCTGAAGACAGATTTGACAAACATGGCACCCAAAGCAAATCCCATGAAACCATTAGTGTCAGTTACACAATAACGCCACGAGGATTCAATTCCTTCAGAGCCTATTAGGATGGAAAAAACAAATCCAGATTTAATAAGCTTGCAGCATGAATTTAATTCCTAAATCATAAGTAATCTAGCATATTACTCACCAATTAATGCTTTCCTTAAGATTTTGGAAGCTTCTCGAAAAGGCTTAGAAAGGCATGAGATGAGCGATTGAACTACAGACCAACCCATGTAATTTGCAAGAACACTGAAAAAGAAATGGTAATTATTGAGGTTTTTGTTTAATAACATTAAATCCATTGATTAAACTAAGGTTGCTTATATAACTCTGCTTCATGAGATTTAATAGATTAGTTTAACTGTCAGTTACAGAAGTTCGTATTTTTCAACTGAGCCTAGTTTTTTTGTTTACTTATTCCAAAGACCAAACTTTGTTTATCAACTCGCATAAATTGACCTAGAATACTTCAAACAGCAATTCCTTAGAATTAAATTTGAAGGTTTTCTTTGTCTTTTACCTCTAAACGCAATTAAAACGTATTACTATAAACATAATGATGAAAAAAGGGTTTTCAAGTTCACATAGAATAGTTAACAGCTATAAATAGATACAAGCAAGTTGGTAATCCATTTCCCATAATTGACTGGGCACAGAAATCAAATTAAAATTTTCCGCATTTCGTTTTCAGAAACATAAACTCTTTAACAGTTAACTTTAATTCCTTAACTTCATCTAGAGCTTTGTAAATTAAAGATTCAAGAATAAATTGGAAAGAAACGACTACCCAATCACTATTCAATCATAATTCATTCATAATAACTTATATGTCAAAATATAATTCAATGTAACAGTCAGTTACAAATTGTAGTAACGAAATCTTATCTAATAAAAGTCAGCTCGATTGGGTGAAGAAATTACAATCGATTATGGTATGGCAATAGTTATCGAACAACTTACATTCGTTTTTCATCTGTTTTGTTGTACTCTACAACAAGATCGGATAAACGTTGTAAATATTCAATTGAATAAACACCAACCAACTCATTTTCTGTTATATTATATTCGATTTGATCAAAGGCCTCTTTAAAGTAAGTAATCCAGTTGATTGCCGGGGCAGCTTTTTGAAGCTCTTGCAAAGTTATCCGCTGGTAAATTTTATCGTCATCAGTTCGATTCTCTGAGGGAACAGTTATCTGTAATCAAATTGAATATGAATCGAGAAAATTTATTGTAAACTAAGCCATAAAAGTTAATTTCAGTCACAAATAAACCATTTACATAGAATTGAAAAAACCAAATAAAAACCATTAATTTAACTGTTATGCTATCATTTCAATGAATAATACACATAATGAAGTGAGTTAATTTTCAGAAGGTTGCAAAATTGGTAATTTTTACAGCTTCATGGAAAGATTATTTGACAAACTAATTGAGTAACAGTTTAACTAAATGAAAATGCCTTTAGTTTGTGGCTTTTCAAAATATGTTAATGGTAATTTGAAAGTAAATGTCACCAAAATTTACCTCAGCCAATCGAGTTTCAAATTCAATTAAATCGTCAACCTGTTTTTCAACGTCCCTCTGTTTTCCTCCCAACAGAACTGCTACTTTTACAGTGAAAGATTTAAATGCTTGTAAAACCTGGAAGAAATGAAAGATAAATAATTGTAATTATCATCACTAATATATTCAAGTCACAATTGTAAATTAATTTACTGACCTCATCGTCGGATGACTTGTTGAGATAATAATCTCGACTTGGTAAACTGAGTCCACCCTGGTCCAGTTGTATGATATTATTAGATGAATTTTTAGCATCAGCTCCAACAGCCCATGAGAAGAAACCTCCTCGATTGTATCGATTATGGACAACTTGTAATGACATCTGAAAATCCCATGAAGAAGCATTGAAATCCGAGCTCATATTCCATCCACCAATCTAAATATATTTCAAGAATAATGAAAAGTTAATAAAGGATCGGTATAAATATCAAAATAAAGTGATTTTTGGCAAAAAGAAGAAAACAAACACCATTTTTGTTGATCATTATTGATCTGTCAGCCTTTTCGTAATCAATTAGGGATCTTCGGTGAATGAACTGGATAAGAAAGTAAATGTTCATATGGATCAGAGATCAACAGTTAAACCATGGTAACCATTAGGAGATGAGTTGATAGTCACTCAAATCTTGTATTAATATTATTCTATTAGTAAACAATGAGTAGATCTTAAGAATCTCATTAATTTAGGTTGCTCATAAAAATATTGCTTAACCATTGGTAATACATCAATGTACTGAAGTTAATATTACAAAGAAAAACTCAACAGGAATTAATTAATTTGTTTTATATACCTACGGAACTGATGCATTGAATATGGTTGAAGAACGAGTTAAATATTATATATCAAGTGAGATGAAAATTGATTGAACATGTTTGTCCAGTAACAAAGAGTTAAAATAGTGAAGTTAAGCTCTGATATTTCATATTGATGAAAACCGTAAACTATTGGGATACAAAAACGATTTACAGCATTTTTACCTATTTTCATAAGATTGTTAAATATTGTTTCAAATTACAATATTAATATTAGTATTATGAACATGAGTCGTTTAATATTTTTGTTTGGACCACTAATTGAAGAGGCAGAGTAGATTTGGAGGCACAAGAGGAACAATATTATCAATATAATTTGATGAAAATGAGCTCAATAACCAAACTAACTCAACTCGCAAATACAGTCCTAATTCAACATTATAAGGAAGAGATTCAAAACTGCAATATAATCAACAATCTCAATCAGGTGAATTGGTGAGATTCTCAGATGATGAAGATTGGATGAAAGCTGAATTGAATAGAAATACTTACTTCCGTTAGGAATTGCTGCATTGGCATTGCACCCAATTTTTCAATGGTTTCATTCTTGTCCAGACAAGATCTATAATAAACCCGCGATTCTTCCTCAGCTTTACTTTGATTTGTGCTATCCTGTTCTGTAAAAATATGGTTAAAATTACAATTATGGTTACAATTAGTGCGATTTCCTGAAGATTCTGCTCAAATTTCTCATATTTCATCAGCCTTTTGAGCAATATCTATGGAAATTGTATAATTCAATGAATTACAAATTAATTCATTATTATGAGGAAATATTAGGATGGTTCCACAAGATAAACATGGATTGTTTAGCTAATAACTCACAAATGTCAGTGAAATTATGAGAACCAGTTGGAGTTCAAACCAATTGTTGGTTATCATTATTGAATAAACAACATATGGAATAAGTTTCTTACCTAAAACAGTTTTCATAACATATTGATTATCTTGCCATAGTTTTGCAAAAGGACCCCAAATTGATTTGCCGTCAGGTAGTGGGTTTGATTCAACCCATCCGCCGCAGGAATATGCATAAAAATCTTGGCAAGGATCTTTACTGACGTCCATCGAATTAACAATTGTACTTGCTATACTTAAACATGATTTTGATAAACAAAGATCTGCGAATAATAAAGAATGAGAAATACACATTTATGTTAATCACACTGGGTTAGGAAAAAATAAATAATCAAAATATGTGAAAATAATTTCATTTCTGCTGTGAATTCGATACATCTCTAGTTCGAAATAGATTATCAAGGGAAAGTAATTTCCTATTTGTGAAAATTTCATGCAATGCCTATTAACAGGAGTTTCAAATAAAAGTAAAAACAATCCAATTTCAACAACACAATGGAAAAGCTAAATGTTGATATAAGGTGCGAATAGGAAGATTAAGAAGAGGATGATTAATAAGAGAAAAAATCACGCAAATCTAATAAAAACATGATTTCCAAGTTGAATAGAGCAATGAAATATATTGAATATAATAAAGTCATCAAGATCTAATGTTAAGAGAGTTTATGCTTTCAAATAATTCTGTTTATTGAAGATTCATAAATTAATTTGTAGGCTCATTAACTCCTGGTAAAGTTTCTTAAATATCCTTTTTAATTGAATGAAATTGTCAATAAATTGAGATCAGTTTTGAGTTGTTGTGCCCGGATTAGGTTAATTTGAAATTTGATACCCAATTAGAACAATGATATAATATCGGTTTTTTGGAATGAATAATAAGACCGATAATAGCTTTTTACGCAAATGATTAGAAAACGTTTTCTAGATCGAACTTGGTCAATTAGTCTCGATGAAAAGAAAAAAGGACAAGATCAACAGATTTACAGAACCAAGATGTCGATTGATGAATATGATCTCAAGATGTTTCTAAAAAAACAGAAGGAGAATCTAACAGTCTAACGTTATTGAGCTCAATTCAGGCTTATTGGCATGTCGAAAGCAACTTGTCACAAAGTACTGAAGTAAGGAAACAATAAAATTTTATATCAATAATAATGCTATTTGAGGAAACGAATATTGTAAATTGGCTAACAAAAAGAATAATGAAAAAAGAAAATATAATACAATTGTTGAAATCACAATCAATCAAACAACTTACCATCTTTACTAGACGTTGAAATCTTAGAGTGACCAAAACTGTTGACAACTATAATGAACAAGATGAGCGCAATAAGTGCGGTAACCAATAAAGAAATGATTAAAAGTCTTTCCAATGGCGATGCACGGTCCCAAAAGTTGCGACGACGAGAACGTCCTTTGTGAATCATAATTGAAGGTGTACTTTGTCCGTTTCCAAATTTATTGGTTGTTGATGATGATGATTGATTATGCGAGTCAGCAGTGTATGAGGATTGAATGTGAAACAATACTTGAGGATTTTGACTATCTGAATGCATTGCTTCAATAGGACTAGATACTGAAAGGGTTGCTGGATCAAGGGGTGGTCCAGAATTTTCAGGTGACATTGTTAATTGTGATGATGAAGTATACATATTATCAAAACCAATTGTATCCGAATAATTAGGATTCACGGCGTCGTCCTGAGTAAATTCGGCTCTCTTATAACGAGGCATTGTTGAAACGGTTGATAATAAAAACGATATCAATGGTAATTACAATTGCAATAATGATAACAATTGGCTTAATTAACCAGAATGGTTTAACTCTGCTATTTTATCAGTAGACATGCAAAGAGTAACAAAAAAATAAAGATATGTTTAAGGGAGGTAGGAAGCGGACCGTTGTCAATCAGTTAGTCACATATAGCATGTAACTACATTTCACGGGTGATTAAAAGAATGATAATCTTGTTGATCCATAATAATAATTGTTCCTTGATGTTGTTTCTTTCTGTTACAAACAAATATCATAAAAGTTGCGAAGCTAAGATTATACCCATAATCAATTTTATGACATAAGAAGCACATAAAATATCACGATTAAATGGGATTTATCATAGAGAGTGGTGAAAAGGTAGAAATGGAATTGAATAGGAAAAGAGAAAAACCAGGTTCACATAAAATCAGACGATAATTAAAGTGATATCTGAACTGGTCAACAGGTTTTGCTGATTCTTCTTTTCCCTCTGTTCGCAAGATTGGAAAAACATTTTTCACCTTGTAGTAATTATGGAGCATATGTAACATCGGTGGGCATAAAATTTTCTCGAGTTTGCTCTTGGAGCAGAATCACACACCATGCGCCTTTTAATGAAGATACCAGTATTGTTCATTGCATGATGGTGATAATATTAACTTGAATGGTTTAACAGAAGAGGTAGAGAAGAAGATGTGACAATAGGCAGGTAAATCCATAAACAGGACGAACAGTTCAACACAAAATTAATAAAAACCATTCGAAAATTGCACATGAAATTTACACAGAACTCTTTGGCTTCTTTTCCCACCAGAAATGTTTAAAAAGAGGTAACTGGTTAGGCTAGTGATTTTACAACTATTTTGACGTTACTCCACTGGTGTCTCGTGTCCAACAATCGTCATCTTCAATAATATTATTGAATTGACTTTAATCATGTTATCCATGATCCTATGAGAAGATGTAAAAATAACATTACCATTTGCAGTTATCACTTGCGCAATAAGACGCTAACCCAAACTCAGATGGCTTGAGCAAGCTTTTCTTCTGGCTCAACCAGAATGTAATGGGTTAAAGAAACTGAGAAAAAAATACTCACCTTCTTGATTTTAGTCAAATGTTTCCTCTTTCCCTTTACAATTACCATTCTCGAAGGTTTAAACAGCATTTTCAACATAAACAAGGTTCAACTTTTTCCATAAGATTGAAAAGAGAAACTAGAAAGAGAAATGAATCTCGGTAAACAAGAAACAAAAGAAAAGAAAGAGAAAGTAATCAGAGAAAGGCGGGAGAAGTTAACTGGAGATTTAAAGTTGGCTCGCTTTTTTATCTGCGAAGCTTCCAGGTTTGTTTTCTTTAGATGTTAGATATTTTTTTTCATTATTTGTAATTTGATTTAATCACATGTGTAGAGTTTTGTACTTTTTATTTTATGTAATGAATTGATGATGATACTTTGTTGGTTTCCTGGTTTGTTGTTGATACTTAATCCTGTTTATTTCATTTATAATTATGAATTCTACTGATTTATCATTTTGAAAGTGTTTATCCATGTTGTATGTCTCTCAAAAGTTTTGTTTGCTGCCAGATTTATGATCATTTGCTTTTTTCTGAGCAATTTCATTTCTGAAGACCCTGAAATTTGGATGGTAAAATTGATATTTACAATGAAACTAAGTTACTTAAGGCCAAAACAACTATAAATTATCTGATTGCTCGAAGGGAGAGTTCATTTTAAGTCACTTGGAAGGCTAAAATTTTTCTCAAAAAAACAGATTGTACTTATTGATTGATCACTAATTTAATTACTAAGATAAACGAACAAACTACTCAATTTCAAACCAAATTCCAGCTTTATTGTTTACCATGCGTCTCTCTGGTGGACAACCAATTGGTAACTGTTATCTAAGTAAATTAAATTCTTGGATCAATCATGAAACAATTGTGTTATGAAATCACTTTTGAAGTCTAGGTTGAGCCACACACAAACAATAGTTATTATGGTTGCTGATGTTGAATCAATACGGGTGAGTATTAAACCTTTCTGACAGTAAATCAAAACACTAATTTTATATATCTATGTTATCTGTATCATTTTATCAAGGACTTCAACAAAGACTTAAGTTTTGGACAACAAGAGACAGTTATCAAGAAATGTTTTTCGTGGTTTTCAGAGAACATAAAATTTGCATATTTTCAAGCTTCAACTTTTCAAAAGACCCAGTAAACACTAAAGAAACATTGATTCGAAATCGCTTTTCGAGTATGAATATATTCAGTAAGAGTACCACATGGATAGTAAGCTGATTTCGGTGTCACTAAGGTGTCATTAAAGTTCAGTTCTTTTTCCAAATCCCTTCTGGAATCTTCAGATTAACAACTTATTCTTTGCACAGAAATTTTTTCAATTTGCTTTATTCTGCATTTTTATTTCAACTACCTTAGAAGGATGAATCTATCATTACCGAATTGTTTCCTCAACTTCAATAGCATTGATTATTTAATAATTTTTTTAATTGCCTTTTTTTTCTTTCCTTTCTGTAGGTACACGCAAAGGCTTATACAGTTATTTTTGAACAATCTTAACTATTTACAAGTCATTTGAAATTGTGCCTCTTGTGTCACCCTTCATCATATGATTAATTGTTCCTTGGTGAAAGCCAATTATCATTGTAATATTGATTGAATGGTTTACAAAATGGCTCAACAGTTGATTTGACAAAGGCCAGAAAAAGATTAATAACTACCGAGAATTATTCTCTTCACCAATGAATTCCTTACAATTTAATTCAATTGAAGACAATTTTTATTGCATTATGTCAAAGACCTTTGTTGACTCCAATAATATCAGATGATAAATATGGTATAATTATCTCTCAAGAGATGAGATCACGAGTTATCTACCAGAATTATCGTAAAAGAACCAACAAACTCATAGCCTGTAATTGGAAAACCTGTTGATCGAAACTAATTTTCTTCAGGAATCCAATTGAATTTTGTCTGCAAAGGCTAATCGTATGAAATAAGATAGTTTTGTTTCAAACCAAATTGTTCATTTATTGAGTGATTATCGAAACAGGAAGCAATAATGCGGAACAATAAGCCAGAATTAAGTCAGAATTTTTAAGATTTCATTTCGCTTAATTAGATTGATCAAAACATGAATCACAAACTTGAATTGACAAACACTTCAAAATATGCACTCGACAGGGTCTTTGATTGTAAACTGAACAAACATCGATTAAATATTGCAACAAGATGAGCGCTTTTAAACTGTTTTAATCAGGTTTTCATTTCAAAAACCGCAAAAGGATCAAACGTTTGGAGCAAGGCGGCTTTTAAGGCCGATAATTGTAACTGTAAATTGTAACTTGGTCCAAATCAAAGAGCAATAGAGGCGTCATCTAGTGACTCATTTTCCATTGAGAAGTGAATTAATATTTGAAAGCAAAATTGAAAATTTTTCTCTTCATTTTCAATGGTAATTATTGAAGTGCATTAGATTTAAATTGCGATTAAGATTTTGGTTAATGAATAGTTCTTAAGATCCACGAATGACTTATTCTAATAACATAACCAAGAAGAATCAGAAATTTAAATATTTTTTCCCTTCCATTCTTGAAGTCCGATACAACAATAGAGACCAGTTTTATTCACCATACTGTCCACCATCCAAATCTAACACACCCAGCATTCATCCACATCATACATATCATATCAGAAAAGCAGTGAACGATTTGGTGGACAATTTGGTGAAAAAAGCCTTTGAAAAATACTTAAGTGGTAGATGTGGTGACAAAAAGTCGGTCCTTTTCATACAATCCTTATGAACATTTTTGATTCACCAGTCTGCTTGAAAGATTTTAAACACAAGCAAATGACAAATGAATTGAAAGCTCATGTTAGCATTACTTTTACAATAATTAATAATCCTCCAGGCCAAACAATAATTGTAATCAATTAACTACCCCAATAAAAGGGATAATATACAGCAATCAAAAATTAGTGCAAAATTTAATTTTTAGTTCATATGCACCGAATAAAAATAATTTTTTGGATAATTATAATGAAGAAGATGAAGGCTCTTGTGAGACATTAGAGCTTTAATTCAGAGCCAAAAATGAGTTGAGTGCATCTTGTCAAACATTTATGTTAATTCAGGTGTTATGCATTAATAAAGGTGCAGAAATGATTATTATAACTCAAAGCAATTGATGGAATCAGATAATTTTCATTGTTTCATGTCACCCTCGTGTAGATTGCAGTCTCAGGTTTAAATCAGCCTTCTTTGCTAAACATGAAAAAATTGTTAACATCAAAGTAAAGTTGGTTAGAGTCAGCCACTTGACTAACATTTTTGAGTGCAAATTTGATAATCCGGTTTTTAAGATTCGACATCTTGATTCTCTTTCCTTTCCTCTAAAAGTTAAACTTTGTTCTTGAATATTCCTAATAAAGATGTTCATGTTGTTCTTGAATTATTGCCTCTTTCACTTGAAATAACACCATTTGACGCAAGCCTAGAAGGAATCAAATCCACGTTTACATTTTAATTAATAATTGTATAGATGATTAAGACCGGCAAACCATTGATAAGTATACCAGGACTCCATTCATACCAATTCCAATGAATTTGGAAGCCAAGTGAATCATTAGTATGACTAAACAATTATTGGTCCGCATCAAACCAGTTTAATAGACGTCACAATGCATAATATTTGTTGAACAACAGTATGCCCTTAACATCCATCATTCATGTGAATATCAACAATATCTATTTAATAATGAGATAAAGTTGACATAATTGCTTCAATGGTGACAACATGATAAGCCGTTGAACCTAAAATCAATTGAAAAAAGAAGAAGATATCAAAGCAATTAGATAATTAATTAACCAGAATACATGGTAGTTTGGATGAAAGGATAAGCCACTTCTAACTAAATGGAGGATTAATCAACAAAGCTGGTACATATAAATGATTATCATTACCTCTGATAGTTGATAACTTTCTATTTTCCATGGTTGATTAACATAACAGTGATGATAACCTAGCAAGTTGCTATAAATGGTCTTGAAAAGGTATTATAATAGAGTAAATCCATCCAAAGAAGAAAAGATCAGCTCCTAGAAAAGGGTCACCAAAATGTACCAAAACAATGTAATGGACTAAGGACAAAAAAATTTTTCCTTTGAGTTTTAAGTTGGGACTTTATGGTCTTTTAGTTACATAAAAACTGACAAGTGTTAATTTATTATCGCTATTAATCAATGTTATTAGTTCATTACGTGGTCATTTGGTTTTATTTTGTTTTTTTAGTGGGACCTCCAAAAAAGCTTTCAATATCTGTACAGAGAAGAAAAGACAAGAAAAGACAAGAAAAGATCAAAGGTTAAGGTTTGAGGTTTGACAGGTCAGGGTATTAGATGACTCATGTAAAGCGACAGATTTGTATGAGTCATACAAACTGTAGACAGAAAATGAGGACAGTAAAAATGAAAGGTGAAGATAGAAATAGATTAAACTACCTGTATCGTTAGTATTGGTATAACCAGTCACTCATTATAGCCTCAAAACTAACTATAATAATAACGTTATCATTCCGCATTCCCCTGGCTGGGCCTTTTTTCCCACACTTCCCGCTTTCACCTTCTTTCTCTCTTTCTTCTCTTTCTTCCATTGTCTTTCTTTTCTTGTCTTTCTTTCTCTCTCTCTTTACCTCCGTCATGATAATAACATTGAGAGACTATTTTTCTGTTCAACTTTTCTTTATTCATTCAATCTTCACTACATTTTTTCCACTCCTTTTCTTCTTCTCTTTAAAGGTAAACCAAAATCACTTTTTTTAAGGTCAATACAATCTCAATACAAAAAGCTGTAACTTTACCAAGAGATTGCATCATCCCTTAAAACACTGGTTAAAACTGAATGTACAAGGGTTAATTGCATATTGACAGGTTACTAAGGCACCACTGATTACAATGAAATAATTTTTATCAAAGAAAATGAATCAGATTAATAGTAATTAGCAGTTGAAATCTATTAATAATTGTCGCATATTCAGAAAAATTGAGAGAAGCGACCTCTATAGAGATGTCATTTTTCTTTCTCTTTACGGGGTGCTCAATGAGTTTATGTAGAAGAACAACATTTTCTGTTCACACGCTATTGAGAATTGCTCTTCCCCCTACCTAAACTTTTTGATACACCCTGTACTCTCTTTTGCTCCTTCGCTATCTTCTAAAAGCCTCCTTTGCCTTTTCTTTCAGTTTAACACAAGCCAAGTCTACATTTCAGCATTCATATTATCCCTTACCTTCATCTCTTGTTGTTTAAATTTGTGCGCCTCTACTTTTGTTGTTAAGACTAAAAAGCTATGGCTGTCTCTACCTGTTAACTACCAGTTAACTAGTGCTAACCTGTTTTAACTACCAATAACCATGGTTACTAACGCCGTCTTGCCCGCCACTAACCTCTGGTTACCATTTTTACTAGAGCTAAACCAGCTAAACCATGAATCCTTTTTAACCAGTGCTCTTGAAACTACACGACTTCGCCCGTCTAATCTTTCGGACATCTCAAGTGTTTATTTATCTGATAACAATTCATTGTCCAGTGCTAACTTTAATTTTAATTTGAACAATACTTATATTGATAATATCAATAATTACATTAATAACAACAATATATTAAACCACCATTTATACATCGACTACTTATTCAACAATTACAATTATCCTGAGTTTGGCCTGATACCTTCGATACTTGGGATACCAGGATGACCTCACAAGAATCACAACAAATATACTCTTCTTTCGAAGAGTTTATGGCTGAGGACAAATTACCTCCTGTTTTCCCCTCATCACAATCTTCCAATGTTTCTGAGACTCCAGCTTTAAGCCAACATCTCATCTCGGAAGTTTGTGACCGTAAGTATTAATTTATTCGTTTTGCTAGAATTCATTTTTACCTTCAAGGCGAATCTACCTGCAAGCTATATTGACATCTGACAGGCACATTATTGACCTGAATAATGCATGTTTTTCTCGTTTTTGCAGTCTTATCATATATTCTTTTTTTGTTTTGCAAAATCTTTTAGGCGATATTTATGGACCTTTTGGAATTGAACACGTTGATGATGACTTACCTTCAAATTTTGTCAACTCATCTCTTGCTTATAGCCCAAACTCTTTACCACCACGATCTCCATCTGACGATAGTTCACTCTACAACATTTCTTCTGACAATTCATCTTCATTCGACCCTTCGGACGAAAATTCTACACTTATTGACGACATGATGGAGTCAACTGATGAATTATCTGATGATTTCGTGGTTGTTTCAGATGTACCTTTACTCGACAAAGATGAGTTGATGCAGTATTTAGACAACATTGCTTTAGATGACATCAACGAAGACTTTGACAATTTTCCTCATGAAGAATCTACTCCTTCTACTTCATCAGTAAATGACGACACGCCAACATTTTTATATATCAAACAAGAAGCTACTTCATCTAATAATTCTAGTATTGCACCAAATGAAGAAGCTATTTCATTTAATTCAAGTATTTCACAAAATGACGAAACTAAAGAAAGCTCATTCAGTCCTGTTTGTAGCAAAAAACCTGCAACTCGAGGCAGAAAGCGTAAATTGTTCAGCAATGGAGGAGAAAAGAAAAAAGATCAGAACAAAGAAGCAGCTCGTCGGTATCGAGAAAAGAAAAAGCAAGAGGATGCCAGACTAGAAGCTGAAGCAGATGAGTTATTGATTAAACAAGCTGAATTACGCAGAGAACTTGCTGAAATCACCAGGGCACACTCTGAATTTGTGAATTTAGCTAAGCAGTTATTGCAATCTAAAAGGAAAAAAGAATAATCCCATTTCATTTATTTTAATTTTTCAGGTTATCTTCTGTAATTATTTAATTTTTGTTACCCTTGCCGTTTGGGCGACACTTTTTGCTTCTTCACTTATTATTACCTTATTATCTTTATTATGTCTTAAATTATTGTTTAATCTCCTTTAACTCTTTTGAATTGTAAATTTAAAATGTTGGCATGATAAATTAAAATTTTTTGCTTCAAATCTTGATTCATTTATTTCATTCACCTTGCCTCAGGAAACTTGTATTGGAAATTGAAAAAAAAACTGAAAATCTTTTACTAAACACTAATTGAATGGATCGTATTAGTGTGTTTTAGATTCAGATGTAGCTAAATTTAAAGTCAGATTGATTGATTGGAACTGATTAGGGAATTAAATATTTGCCTAAAGAAAAGTTAAAGTTACAGTTACTAACAAAGTATTAGATAATTACATGAGTCTTTAGCCTCTTTCAGGTAAATTGCCCATTGAAATTTCGTTTTATTCACCCTTCAAATTGTTCAACTACCAAACATCTTTAACTCTTCTACTTCTACAGGGCTGCAATCTACAATTTTCGTACAAAAACATATCTTAAAAAATTCCTTAAAAAGTTCATGCATATCAAATTTATCGATGAATTTCTACATTAACTACACTAATGACTGAATATCTATCAGGTCTTCTTAGTATTAACAATGATTATTTTGAGCCAACAGTAGCTAATTATTTTTATCAAAAGGATGAAAACGGCCAAAGCTTATATGTGAATCTAAACCTTAAAGTTGAAAACGCGTTGAAACATAAAATGTTTAGTTTGCATGAAAAAATAAATTAAACTGCATATGTATAGTCCATCAGAAGATAATAAACTTTAATTCTACTTCGAAACTAGTATAACAAAATTGGCCACCAGTTAAGATGACGAAATGCAGTCCATTTCAGCCTATGTTCTCCGAGCTTTCTTTGGCCTAGCTGTTTTAGTAACAACATAGTCAGTGGTATCTGTTATGGAAACTACATTGATGCCTTGTTTTTCCAGGACTTGTATTGAAGGCATTCGCCCAGGTCCAAGGCCTCTCATAATGACCTTTACAGTGGTAGTGTCCAATAACTTGAGCAACTTGCACATAGCCAATGCTGCAGCTTGAGCGGCAACTGTGGTTCCTTTCTTAGATCCTTTAAAACCTTCAGTATAACAAGACTTTTTACCCATAGGAGTGTTTTTGGAGTCCCATAAAGACAGCTTGGTATTGTTTTTAGTACAAGTTATGGACAGTCGTGGAAGTGACTCATATGGGATTCCGTTGAACAAAGTAGTTGGAGTATCAACGGATGGATAGTCGATCACTTTTTCTCCATAAAAGTCCACTGGTAGCCCTGCTGTTCCATCATCCCGTCTAGGAGCTCCTTTACGATATTCACTTAAACTCCACTTATGAGCCAACGGTTTTGCAGTATGAAAAAATTGTTGCTGTAAACTGCATGGCAGCCTTAAATTATTTGAAATTTGGCATCTAATAAAATACAAAGATTTAAATAACATAATGAAAAATCAAAAAATTCAATTTTATTGAACAAAAACAAAAACAGAAAAACAGATTTTTCAAATTGAAAACAGCGACATCTGTTGAAAAGAGAAAGTATTCCAATAAAAAAGAGTAAAACGAGTCAAACGCAATTTTACACTAAACTCCAATCTTGAGTTGGTAGATGTTTTAATTGTATCCTTTTGTTTTTCATACTTCTTAATTTGTTAATCGATATCAACCTTTATTCTGGACAACATTACCATTATCAAAGTAATCATCTCTGGTCATTCATCATGTCAGGTATTGCGGTCGCTAGATTAGCCGAAGAAAGGAAAGCTTGGAGAAAGGATCATCCTTTTGTAAGTAAACCAACATCTTTTCTTCTTTTTAACCGCGTATTTCTTAACCAAATTTTTTCCTTTCTCTTTCTTGTTCTTGTTACCTTTTTATTTCTACTCATCAAACGTTGACTTTTATTGCTCATTATGTTGTTTCAATTGTTTCTTTGTATATAGGGTTTCATTGCCAGACCCACCAAAAATCCTGATGGCAGTTTAAATCTTCTTAATTGGGAATGTGCTATCCCCGGTAAAAAAGGAGTAAGTACCATCATCTCACTGAATTTCTTGATCTTCAATTTTCTTTTATTCTATCTCTTTTCTCTCCTATCTCTTTCTCTTTCTTTTATGGCCTTTGTCCGATTAAGTTTATTTTCAGTATATGTCATCATTATATCCGAATTATATTTCTCAAGTTTCCTACTCCTTTCTTTAAAGCTTTTCTTTGAATGTAAACTAATCTCTATTTCTATTGTCTGTTACAGACTCCTTGGGATGGTGGTCTCTACAAGCTGAAAATGATTTTTAAAGATGATTATCCATCTTCACCACCAAAATGCAAATTTGAACCACCTTTATTTCATCCTAACGTTTACCCATCAGGAACTGTGTGTCTCTCATTATTGGACGAAGAGAAAGACTGGAGGCCGGCTATCACAATTAAACAGATTCTTCTTGGTATCCAAGATTTACTTAACGAACCAAATGTTAAAGATCCAGCTCAGGCTGAAGCATATACTATCTACTGGTATGATAGAATTTTTTCCATTTTTCAAAACAAATCTAGTTTTTTTGACATTTTCATATGATACTAAACGTTCTTTTCTACCTATCTTTTTTCAGCCAAAATCGCTTGGAATACGAGAAGAGAGTGAAAGCTCAAGCAAAAGCCATGGCAGCCACCGAATGATTGTCGATTGGTAATCAAAACATAAAGGAATCATCGTTTGGTTATTGATGAGTCATTAAAAGATTTAATAAAAATATCAAAATGTCAATGTGAAATAATTGTCATATTTTTTATTTTCTTGAGTGTAATATTGTTGATTTTTGAGTTGATCAAATCATTCAATTCACTCTATTGATTCGTAATCGAATTTAACTCCTTTTTTAAAACTATCTATTTTTTATAAACATCTAATGTAGAAAATAATAACAATTCAAATTTAAAGTTGACTGAAGGAAGAAGTCATGGTAAGGAAAAATATTTCAATAAAGTAGATTGGAGTAAGATAACAAATGCAAAAATACAGTTGATTATGAGATGTATATAAATCAAAATGTCTGAAAAGGTGTGAATTGATTGCAATGCAGAAACGAACCAATGTAGAGAGCAATGTATCGATGGTAATAGCTATGAAGGTGAAAATGATTAGATGCCAGAGTATGATACAAAAAAATAAAAGCACAATAATAGAGGAATATCAATAATACAATTCTTGTGATTTAGCATAATCAAATAAGTGGAGACAGCAATAGAATATTCAAGCTGTTAAAACTGTTCGTTCATTGTCTTAATTTTCTAATGCTATTGTTGAGTGTTTTTTTCTTGAATGCTAATTGATTGATCAATTTTTTCGCAAATAAAACTTGCTATTGATTAGATAGAGTAAATGGGGGACATTCATATTAACTCTACCTAATAAATTAACAACATTATATCCATCATATTGTAACTTTAAAAGGTATTGAAAGTCCAACTTGATTTTACCAAATTCATTATCACGTTCTAAAATTCGTAATTCAATTGATAGAGTTGACTCAGATGATGGTGATAGTTCAAATTTGACTCTTTTCAATGTAGATTTTTTACAGTCTCCCATTGAAATTAAGATTCCCTTTTTCTTTAGCTTAAGCGCAGAATAACTTAAACATGGTTTGGAATCATTTCCATCGGCTGTAGAAATTCTTTCCAAAACAGGAGATAACCGGTAACTAGCTTTACACTTGTTTAAATATTTTTCATAGCATTGACTGATTTCCTGGAGATGTTCACGTTTTGTGATCAAAGTATTCAATGTTTCCTCCAAGTTAATCATTTTTGCATATCTATGGTTTCGATATTGAAGCTTGTTGATAATATCGTTTGTTATCATGACCAGAATTTCATCAAAACTCCTTGCCTCAGTGTGTCTCATGTTTTGAATGGCGAAGTCCAAAAGAGTACATAAATCATTTCCAAGCGGACTAAATATTACTGAATGTTTCTTCAGCTCTTGAGGAAGAACCCAATTGATTGAATTTTTGTAAAGAACGTAACAGGCATTTTCTTCATCCTCCACTTTACGAAATAAAACTTGGTTCAAATCCTTACAATTTGGCCTTTGTCTTATCAATTCAAGAAGAGCTTGTTTCACTTTTATAGTAGCATTCGAAGTCACATCAGTATCATTGATAGCTCGACATCTCAGAGGTAAGGAGACTTCAGTATTCATCAATTCGTCTTGACCAACATTTTCAACATAACTAGAATCACAGCCAAGAAACGTTCGGATATCTTGGGGAGGCGGACCACATTCTTCCATAAGTAAGCGAAATTCGACATCAAGTGGATCACTTTCATTAGGAGCGATATCATTTTGATACCTATGTAAGATAGCATGAGATTCCATTATTTCTTGAAAACAAAGCATGATGCTTGGTGGCTTGAGATTAGCCTCATCAGAAAATTCATTGAAAAAGAAGATATCAGAAATATCATCGACCCAACAAATTGAGTCTACTAAACGCTTCAGTTGAAACCAAGATTGTCCTAAGAAGCTGTCCAATTGTGCAGTTTCTTCAATCATCACAGTAGATTGTGATACCATTGGAGAGAATGTAAATGCTCTTTTTCCGTTGACAGCTGCTTGTAAAATTTTATAAACGCCATTAAGGTTTCGGCGAGATACCAAACTGGTTCGTTTCTCATTTTCCCTCATATTGGTTAAATAAGCTTCAGGGAAAAGTATACAGGGACGAATCCAGCGCGTGAAAATTACGTTAGAAATGACTTTGATTCTTTCCTCTTCACCATAAGGTTCATTAAGGGAACTTAATTTTTCTGCGAGAAATGAGTCTAAACTTTTACATATATACTTGAGTCCAAATGGAATGAGATCGATAAATTCAGGCGAGACCATTGTATCGATTAACCGACCACAGGTTTTTACAATGTGAGGAATGTTATGGGCAAGTTGAATTCTAACTTGATTATCACTCAAGGCTTGTTCAATTGAAATATCTTGAAGGTTTTTATCTTCCAGTGAGTCAGCTCCAGTAAGATTAAAACGATCTTTGTGAAGGGAGACCGGATCAAGGCAAAGGAATGGCTCTTTCAGAGAAACAATGTCTAATATCACAGGCTGAAGTAGATCAAATAAAGCTTGTCGATGAGCGCGATGACAGTCCAATGCTATTGTTATAATCATAGGGTCACCATCAATAATATAATTTGCTTTGGTTATCTTATGAGTAACCTCTTCTTTAAGAGCTTCTTGAAGTAGTCGACATAAGAGATAAATCTCTCGTTCTCCTGGTTCACAGAAAAACAATGAGTATATACAATTTTTGAAGAATGATGAGACTTGAAAGGTTGGAACTGCAAACAGTAAACGTGAAAGATACCGGGGCTGTGTTTGTAAAGCATAAAATAGGTGAGAATAACATTTGAGTTTAGAACAGCGGCCTTGGTAAAATCTTGTAATATCGAAAGCTGTCCATTTTCTTGCTTCTCCACTACGTTTATTTCTTCTAGATCCGCTGATTGCCATAGACTTCATTTCTGCTAAAGCTTCCATGCTCATTGTTAATCTTGAATTACGGATTAGAAGACCAATGTTCTCATCAATCTCCTCAATCCGCTCATCCAGCTCACGGTTAACTCTGATATATTTGGTAATCTTCTCGATTAACCTTTGCATTTCACTTTCAATAATATAGTCTTGTTCACAGAGAGACAGAGTAAGACAGACATCACGTATTTCTTCCAATAATGAGATAGACGATGACTGGGATGTGCCGGTTGATGAGGCGAGACGTAATGCTAATCTTCGGTAAGGTTCAAGAGTTGGCAACACAGGCGTAGTCACTGAAGACATTTAAGTATACAAACTATGAGAGCACAAGTCAATATACAGTAAAAGAATTTACACAGTAAAAGTTTTAAAAGTAAGATTACAAATGATTGTTGAGTAGTGAAGAAAACAAATTAAAAAATTCAAAATAATAAACAAAAAATGACATCCCTTACTAAACTGACTCGCTAAGTTTGAGTCATGCAAACTGTTTACAACAAAAGTGTATCGATTCATTATCTTTTGATAATCGATTGTTGCATCGATAGTATTATCGTGTGAACTTTCAAAACTAAAAATACCAAACGTATTATTAATGTGTAATGTTTAATTTAATTAGACTAATTTCCTTTCAGTATTTTGATTAGCTAACATTCCAATTCTTCGTTTACCCAGCGGTTTCACCAATTTATTCAACTTTCTTCTGTTCCAGACTAAACAAAGCAAGTATCAAGAAAAATTTGATGGATAAATGCAAATCTTCTGTGTCTTTGCCTGATTTAACTTGATCTAAAGACCAAAACCATATCGAAGATCGGGACAATTTAGATTGACAAGATGAACTACTTAAATGGCTTAAAATTTTAAAAGCCTATCATAGGAAGAAGCATAAGATAGCGACGATTCATCATTATTGTTTACATGTGTCTTTGCATGTGGATATTTGAAAGTGGTGATGACAACTGACACTCAAGACGTTTAGTTTTAGTCGCACTTAAATTGACTGTTTGAAACTATTGCAGATGATGAGATTAAATTGTGGTTAGCCTAATCAGTCAGTCTGGAGAAGCTTTTCAAGTTTTTCATCTAATATTAACTATATTTGACTCATGGTTACTCTGCGGTATTTACATTATTGCCCACTCAGCTTGATGTCATATACTCACAGTACTTGTCAGTGAAAACGACTTGAGCTGATAAACGTAGACAGTTCTCAGCTAAATTCAAATTTTAGCTCACGCTTTTTCTTGGTGTGATCCTAATTATCAACAATTTTATCTTTTCAAGAAAATCTTTTATTCTGTTCTCAGCTGTTCAAACTTTCGAGTTTTTATTTTCCTAAATGCTTCTTCCTTGAACAATTGAACATAAGATTAATGCTTATACCACATTGTGTTTAAATTGCATTTGTGATTGAATAAACACTCATTGAAAGATTGAAAGGATCAAGGGCTGAGAATTTCTTGAGCCAATTTCAAAGTTGAATAAGATAACGATGTACAGATTGACCCCTTTCTGGTTATTCCGGTTAGTATTTAGTTTTCGGTTTTATATTTCTTCCAATTAAATAGAAAAGGCTCTCACCCTGAAAAACAATGGCAGACTGGAATCACTTGGTACTCTAAATAAACATGATTATAGCAAGATACCTTTACAAGATTTAATAGTTTAGGAAACTCCAGATAAACTAAAATATAATTTTATACAGTCGAGACAAATCGCAACAAAAATATTTTCATGAAATATATTCTGATTCGATATTGAATCACATTGCAATTGTGCATTAATTTGTGAAAAATATAATGTACTATGATATGAATGAATACTCCAACTGATTTTCATGATTTTAATGATTACTCTTATCAAAAATGTCTTTCAATGATAGAATTGGAAAGTTAACCAAACTGGTGAATCACTAGTTAAACAAGAAAATAAAGGGTGTTAAGGTTTATTTCTTGCAAAGTAGGAAAAGTTAAAAGCGATCTTATCTGAAGATAAAGATGAAAATGGTGATAGCATGACGATAAATATGAATTGGTCACTTGCATTTGCTTGGGTATTTTGATTAACCTTTAACTTTTGTGATTTCATCTTTATCTGCAGATAATATCGTTTCTCTCCCCCTGTTTTTGCAAGAAATAAACCTTAACACCCTTTATAACAGCAACGATGAATGAAGTTTATTTAAAAATACATCGTCTTCGCTGAATAACAAGTCTAGCTGCAATTGATCTTGTAAACACAGACACACTCAAAATTTAAATAAGTAAGCCCTTGATTAGAATGACCGATTAGATTAGAATCACTTAACAAAATCTTTCCATCACTTCATGCATTTACTTATAGAGCTCATAAGATGGCGCTAGCGTTTAATCAGTGAAATTTTTATTAATAAATCGTAAGTTCATTTGAACTTATTGTTACTATTTCTTAAAATTTTTAGTTTCCCTAGATCTGTTTTTTGCCAAATTTGATCTTGTTCATAAGAAATGTGATTTCTTACTCTAAAACAATCTTATGAGTACATTATGACTTGTGACTTTTCATTCATTAATCATTGCTCGGATCTATTTTAGATCATGTGTTGTCCTAGTCATTCATGTGTTTCAGGCTCCGTTCATTTCAATGAAGATTTTCATTTAATGTGTGTTGGAGATTCAGATAAATCTTTCGTAAGAATCTGTGCTCATGATTTTCAGAATCTTTCATCTTTGAAATCTAATAACAATAACATTGGAAGCAATACGTATAAAATAAATTACTAATGAAATTTTCATGATCTAACCTATTGATTGATGGTTTGATGGCTATTGTTTTGTCAATAAAGTTTCATCAGCTTTTACTAAATAATGTTATGTATTCAAAACAGTAGAATAGTTTTGAGCTCAAAATTAAGTTTATTGTGGTCAATTCATTTCAACTTTAATTTCATTGTTGGTTTGGTTTCGAACAATAATAAACCATTTGGATTCCTGGTCTGTAGTTCTTTGAATCATTATTATCACTTGATTACTTCGAGACGATAATATGGTAATAGATAGATAATAAAATGAAATTTAATTTCACTGTTGATCTTAGGATTGATTAAAGTGATGACCATCTTGAAAAGGATTGTCAACCAAAAGTAGCAATTGTGGTTCAGCTTTTTTACTAGAGTTGATTATACTTCAAAGACTCCATTGTACATTCATAGGTAGTAAAGTAAGTTACAGGTATAAATGAAGAAAAGGTTTGCTGTTGATGGTACTTGGAAATAACACTATTGACTTCGCAGAATTGTCGTACTTGGTTAAAATTGAAAATGGAATTGATCACATATTCAACTGCACTATGATTAAATAAATCCAATAAATATCCAGTTGACGGGATGCAAAATATCTTGGTGGTAATCAGATATTATGACAATTTGAAGTTTTCAATACATCTGACAAATTTGTGAGTATCAAATATTCATAACCATGAGATCAATAAGCGTTTCAAGGGCAGAAACAATTTGAGATCGATCGTATGCAGAGCAACATGAGACACACCATTTCCTTCCATTCATCAAGGGTTGAAAATAACGTTCAATTTCCTCTGAGCTTCTAGCTCCATCTAAATCAGAGTGAGTACCTAGAACAAAGAAAAATAATGGAATTAGTATCACTCATTGTTGGAATAATGAAAGAATTAGAACTCAAATCAAACTGTTAAATTCAAGGTGTACTCCAAATTATTCCCGTATAAGTAAAACAAAACAAGAATCAACCTTGAGTAAACCAAGAAAAGTAAAACAATGCAAAATTTGAAACAAAAACAGCAGATCGTAAAACCACTAACTACACAAAAGTGATATGCTTCAAAATGAACCTATGGAATATCCTTGAGAATAAAAAACGACCGCAAATCCAGATTTGTTGATTCCTAAGTGGAATATACACAGGAAATTTGATATGCTTACCTAATATAAGGCAAGGTTTACCGGTGAGCCGTTGATCGGACAGAACAACTCTTAAAGCTTCCTTGGCAGTATTTAATTCCTCATCTGTATCAGATGAATCAACAACAAAAAGGATGCCATGTTTACTTCCAAAATAATGGTCCCAAAAACGTTGAACTTGAAATGATCCTCCAAGCTCCTTTATACTAATTACAGTGTTCTTGATTGGCAATGTTTTAATATTAAATCCACTAGTAGGTTCACAATTAGATAGTGGTTCATCCACCAGATGAGATAATAAGGTTGTTTTACCAGCACCACTTAATCCTAAGCAAAGAACATTGTATTGATCTTGAAGAATGAACACAATTGGCTTGTGACACTGAATCCATTGCCAGCACTAAAGAGGGAATCATTTTTTCAACAAAAAAAGATCAAATTAGATGGATTAATAATATAAAATGAAAATACGAAATGTAAATCTTAAACAACGGTTAGAATCTTACTTTTCTCAATCCTGTTCTGCATGCTGTGAAGCTTGAGTTAATTGTTTCTCGAACACCAGGCATCTCAAAAAGATCAATTGTAGCAGTAAACCGCAGTAAAATAGAGGAATCAAAAATAAAATGAAATGTCAGAAATAACCACAATTAATTATAAGTTCATGATGAAAGAATGAAGATCCAAAACAATAAAGGAGGGATTAGAGTGATGGTAGAAAACTGAAAAAATGAGATTTTTACACAGAAAAAGCGAAAAAATTATTTAAAATTTTCAAGATCCCATTGTTGTTGAGCTAACGGTTGATGATTTAATCACATTGATGGAAACAATTGACTTTAATCAAGTATTACAATTTACTATAAAATAGAAGGTAATTGTGTTAACAGCATGTTTAGAATTCTTCTTTGAACAGTTAACATTGTTTACATCGCATGGGTTGAGGGAAAACCAGAAGAGATGAAAATGAAAATAGAGAGAAAGGAAAATAGACAGAGCAAGAAATGAGCAAAGGGAAAGAGAGAAAGGTAATGCAAGATTTATTGTAGGTCTTTCAAGTTGGAAATGAATCAAAATTTCAAACAAGGTGATCAATTTAATGTCAAATGCTAACTCATCTGATGTTGAAATGGTAAAAATGAGGGAAATTCAACCCCAACGCATCCTAACGGCTTTTCAATTAATCGAGGTTCCTTCCAATTCCTTCAGATTCACCAGAAAAAGGTTTTAATGGTTAGATTTACAAGCTGTGTTCATTGTTTAATTATTATTAATAGTTAGCCAAATCTTGATGCTATTGAGCGTAAAGAGAGATTCGCATTTCTTATAGTTCCAACACTTATTTTTGCTAAGATTTTTGTAACATTCCCTGAATGGTCAACATTAGTCGGCTCATTACGCCAAGATAATAATAAATCCTTCCTGGCCATAGTAATTTAGCGAGGGAAGAATACAATTAACGAGGTTTCCTTGATTGAAAAGGATAAGGATGAGATAATAGCTCAGGAGTTTGTCATATGATGAAGACGAAAATATCCTTGACCCAGAATCAGATGCTGACGCAAATAGAGGATATTCATCACGATGGTAACCAAGTTTCATCTTCATCTTCCCATCCATTTATTTATTAATTTGATAAAATTTAAGTCTTTAGTTTTATCCTTTAAAGGTTAAAATGGTGAAAATGATTAAATAAATGGTCAGATCCAATTTAATCTATTGAACCTGAACTAAGAGTGGTCTTAATGCATTAAAACAGTGGTATTTTGTTTCAAGTTTAGGATGAAACAATTGAAAACTACTATGGAATTATTATGTGTTAACCTTTTCATCTTTAATTAAAGTTTATTCTGATCTTAACGGTCTTGCTTTTAATCTAACACCTTAACCTTTAATTTTACTTTCACTTTCAATCTTTAATGCAGATTAGACAGTTTTACAATTAGATAAAGTTCAATTTGAATTGTCCCAAGAATTAAGGATTGTCTTTAAGACATAATAACTACGGCACATTCACTGTTTGAAACACAGCTACAGTTAAGTATTTATCAGATTGATTCAACATTGAAAGGTGGTTTCTGATTGTTCAATTTGATCTATCGAATAATCTATCATTTTTTATGATCGTTACAAATTAACTGCTAATCTGACAATCATAAATCGTATTAAATTTTCAATCATTTGCTTTGTAAATGAATCAAAAATCAGGTGCAAAATGATACAATTTGATGTAGCTTATCTTTGACATCACATGATTCAAAATATTTCAGATGTAAAGGCTATGAGAATTAATTTTTGCGAATCAACATTCAAATGTCATTAGTGAATTGGTGTTAAATTTAAAATTTCCAGTGAATTTTGACATTATTAAAAATCTCTATTACGAGATTGAATTTTCAACAATAAACGCGTCTTTGGATGCACTTGCGAGTGACAGTGAGCAAAAACCTGAAATTTATAAGCTGGACAAAATCGGCAATTAAGAGGACAAATTTACCCACAATATTGAGTTGATTTATTTTTTGGGTTGAAAGGGCATTGAGAAAACGAAAGATGAATGGAAAAGGAGATTATTAGACTAGTATGGAGAAGTGTTCAAGGTAAAAGAGATCCATGGTTACAAATAGGTAAGTTCGGGATGGACTTTAGAAAAGAGTTATCATTTCAATTGGTTGGTACGATCAACACAGATCCTTTAGGGTAATGAAGCTTCTCATTTATATATTCATGATCTTATTGTTTAACAAGCTGCCTTGTTGTTATCTCCTGGTTCATCTTGTTTCGTCTTTGCAAACGTAGTTGTTGTTGCGTGAGCATTCCAAGATTTTAGTTCGTTATTTTCTGAGTTGGATTTATGAAGATTCAATATGTAATGTGTGTATGTATTCATGTATGTATGGATGTATTTAGAGTTGTGAGTTTTTCAATTGTTATGTATGTGTTGTATATGCGTGCAAATATATATTTATATATATCAGAGGTATATAATTCCTGCGTTTCTCAACAACAATTTCCAGATGAATTAGAACTGTTGCCTCCTAAAGGTACACTGGAATTTGAAGGTGAATGTTGAGGTCCGACTTTGATCCCATTAGATTCGTTATTGATGTCAAAAACACCCTCTTGGATTTTCTCGTAAATCTCTTTAGCAGTGTTAATGAAAGCCTCTTCGACATTGGCTGCAGTTTTAGCTGAAGTCTCCATAAAGATGAGACCATGTTCCCGAGCAAAATTTTCACCTTCTTCCTTTTTCACTTCACGTCGTGATTCTAAATCACTTTTATTACCAATAAGCATTATCACCATGTTAGAATTGGAATGTTGACGAGCATCTTCAAGCCATGTAGTCAAATGGTTGAAAGTATCACGACGAGTGATATCATAGACCAATAATGCTCCAGCAGCACCTCTGTAATATGATCGAGTGATAGACCTGAACGCTTCTTGGCCTGCAGTGTCCCATATCTGTAATTTAATTTGTTTACCATCAATAGGTATCATACGAGCACCAAACTCAACACCAATTGTTAGATCATGTACTGGTTGAAATCTTTTATCAGTAAACTGTAAAAGTAAGCAAGATTTACCAACTCCTAAAGGATAGAAAAATATAGAAATAATCAGTAAAATGGCCAATGGAAAGCTGCAGCCAAGCAAATGATTGTCAAGCAAACATATTGCGAGTTTAGAGGCACAAACAGGATAAAAATGGAGAGCTTTGAGAGAAAGAGAAAGCAACAGTAAACCAGGCAAAAGGTAGAAAGAAGATGAAAGGGAAAAGACTCAGAATTAAGGGAGACACAGTGTAGTAAAAAGAAATTAACCAGCAATGGTTAAGAGTAGAGTTGGAATGTTAATTAACATAAGTTACAACAATCACATTTTAAATTAATTTGAACATTACCTGTATCACCAATGATAATATATTTAAAAAGAAACGCATAAGACATTTTGACGATGACAAATTCGGGTTGTTTACAAAAAATTTAAGGTTACAGCTTCAATATGTGTTTGTAAACAAGTAAGAGTTACTCCAATAATTTTAGATTATTCATTGATTGATGTTTCCTAACCATCGATAATCGACCAAAAATTCGATACATCGAACCAGAAATTCAACTTGCTTTTTAATCAAGTAAGAAAATAATTTCTCAATTTATTCTGAATAATTTGATATAATCAGATTTCATTCAAAATATTGTTGATTAAATAATTCTCCAATTGTATCGCCCAATAAAAGCTTTTAAACTAATTGTAAAAACTATTAAACTCTATGACTTTTAAGGCGCTCAAGATGGAGCCACAAATCTTTCTATTAAAAAAGTCTGCGAAAGCGAATACAAAAAAGTGTTTGATTTAGTTAATACTTTAATAAACAATCAATCAACATTCAATATTAATGAGCATGAAAGATGGTAATTTATCTTTTGTTCACTTGACTTTTTCATAGCTTTAGATAAATCAAATGTGTTAAAATATGTGAATTTATTTCTATCTTAGTTTACTCAAAAATCAATAACGTCAAGATTAACGGATTTTTTCTGGTACATTTCTTATACAAGGGAAACTTGCAGCCTTTAACCGGATAAAATGATATCAAATTGGTGGAATTACTTTGACAAACCAAACTTATTTATTGGATTGGATTAGCTTGATTTATGGTTTACCTTTTTCTTGAACATTTCGAGATTGTCAACTTGGATTACAATATAAGGTAAGCAATATTAAACAAAGGTTGAAATTTGAGAAATAAGTGAGACTCTGTCAACATAGTCAATCAGCAACCCTTTTTAACGTTAATATTTGGTTGATTTTGAAGACACTTGAAGCACTCAGTGACAAAAGCAGCACCTAAAAAGATGTTTATGCCTCCCTCTGAATTACGCAAGGTCAATAAATATTATCAAGATCTTTTTCTTTCATTCCTTCATTTAACTTGAACAAGTCGAGCTCACTTTTCCCATGTAACCTTAAATATTGTACCAAATTGACAGGCATTCAAATTCTAATTTTGATTTTTCTTTCTTTTCTACTTCAACAGTATCCTCATCATCATCAACACCAGCATCATTGCCATTCCAATTTTCACCGAACTCCTTATTTTTCACATTTTTTTCATATCAACGTATCCCACACACTTTTGAATCAACTTTTTCCAATGGAAATAACAAGATATGGATTAAAGCGCCACTGGATGATTAAAAGACAGCAACACCAACAGACAACATGGATCAAGCTAAATCAGCTTGATTCCAACTGAAAGACTTAACACTTCGTTCTGGTTCCCTCTGGAAATCATCCAACCTTTGCTTTTCTTTGCTTTTCATTTCTACCAGTTCAAGTATATTCATCTTAAATAATAACAATACTACTGCTAAGAATAGCAGTGACAACGTAAGAAGAGTAGAAAAAAGTAGAGAAAAAGAAACAAAAGTTTCCTTCTAAACGTTTTCTCAACCAAACCAGCTCTTCTTACATTTATGTCCTTTTTTCCTTCTCCATGTCTCCATGTTCATCTTAAACTTGCATCCAAGTTGAGTGTCCAAAAGTATTCAGCTATTGGTGCAACATGAATGTTCATCTGTTCACTTTATACTCCACAGATCATCTAATTTTGTTACTTAACTAGATCAATGGAGTGTTAATTGTAGCGTCAATCATCATTTTGTATCAGCCTGATTCACAACAATACCAAGCCAAAGAAAAAATAAAATTATATTACATTAGCCAAGGAACAAAACAAAAATGGCTTCCAATTGGATGTTAATTGTGTTTCTGTTCACATTATTGTTGTTTTTATTGCTCTTGATTTTACCCTTATCCACTGGAGCAACCAATAATTTATCCCTTAATTGCGATTTCAATTTATCAACTCAAAGTGATTACAAGTGTCATTGGATTGTTGGTTATCCGTTTCAATTGATTAAATCTGTCAATGAAAGTGAAACATGGCTTGATTTTAAAACATCAACTGTTAATCGTGAACAATCATCAGGATATCAAAATAATGGTATTCTGGGTAAACTTGTAAGTCCTGAAATTAATGTTAACAAAATGGATTCTCCAAGCCATTGTACACTTGTTATTACCATGAAAATGGTTAAATTTGAATCTGGTTTGTTTAAAATTGTCCGTCAATCAGTGACCAACCGAGAACCAGAAACTGTCCTTTCAAGTAAACCTGGAAATAACTATCAAAGGTAAGCAAAATGACTTTAAAACAAGATAATCACAAATTAATTGTGATCAACTGTAAACCAAACAAACAATTGAAGAGGTGAAATAAATCACCTAATGACAGGTCGTTTGAAACCATGTTTTCAAGCAACACATTTACAATTTACTCTGACAACATTTTGCTTCATTTCTTCACTATTTAACGTTACAGCACAGTTGCTCCTCAACATGATTGGTATTAATCACTGTCGTCTATTTCATCCTTTCCCACCTTCACTCTATTGTATTAATATTAATATCTGTTACCTTAAAGTTTGTGCTCATCAAAATTGAAGCCTTCTTGCCTTATTGTTAACTTTCAAGTTGATCATCAGAGTAACTCAGACAATAACAGGAAACATTTCTGATAAGTTTAGCAATGAAATGTTTTAATGATTTACCCAAAACTTCAATTCCTTCAATCAAATGTGATTGTTTGCAGCCTGACAATGTGACTGTAAAACGAGATAAAAGTTAAATTCAAAGTTGATTCAAAGTTGACATTGACCTTACAGTTAATTTTAATGTTGGCAACTCATCAACTAACTAAACCGTATAAATCGACTGACTAAACTTAACCTAATCAGATAAATTAAAGCAATTACAAATATGAACAATTAAGATATTTGATAAAACAAAATTACTTTCCAATGTAACATTTCAACCCATTGTAACCAATAATGCTCAGTTAATTGTCGATTGAAAATAATCTGACAAATTTTATAACCAAATCTCAACTAGTCTCGAGTTTAATTACCATTAAATGGTTAATTAAAGTCATTAACCCATCTTATTTTGACTGAAAGCTGTTGATTCTTGCATATTTAATTATAATCTTGTTTGAAGATTAAATCGAAACAATTGATCAAAGATGTAATTAAACTTAATCAAAGTCTTTTCAAGTAGATTCAAGTTGATCAAATTATAATAACAATTATTACAGTCATCAGTGCCATCACCATGATTACCAGAATCAAGCTGACAATGAATTAAGGTTGAAAAATGTGATTAACTTACTCAAACCTGCAACTTACCTTTAACCTTATTTTCAAAGCAAATGTGACAGGGATGAGCATGAAGATGAGTGATACGATAAGTCAGGATGAGATTGAGAAAAAAGACTTTAAACTGTTATAAATATGTGCACATTTAAACACTTTTTCACATTTATAAATATATTTATCACCAATGAAACCAACACTGTCACCATTTCATCCAATCTGGATATGATTCAAGAAAAGCAGTAAAAAATGAATGGCTAAAAATAAAGGTAAAAAAAGCAACTTCTTACAGTTTCCAGTTCTCATCATTTGCCTCTTCATATTCACCATCCATCTCATCCCTTGATCTTACATTATACAATGTAATATTATAAATAAAACATCTAACAAGTCACATGAACATTTGACTTCCTCACCAATAGCCTGAAGCATTCAATTTCAACCAATTCAATTCACTTTCCATTCTCAGCTACCAACTTCCAAATTACTGACCATTTAATGATTCCAATACCACATGATGTTAACAGTTAACAATCAGAATCATCTTGTGATACAATCGACATTCAATATTTAATTGAATAATAAACGAACAAAAATCTTTAAACAACTTTAAATTGTTATTCCCAAAATGAAGCAAATTGAACTAAAAATTAAACTCATTTACCAACTAATTGAAGGTTTAATGGACAGTCAACATTACAATTGTTTAATTACCGCATTGGAAGCAAATCAGATAAATTTTTACTCGACATTCGGGAGTTGAGTTGAGTTGAAAAAACATTATTAACCTTGTTGCTGTTGGAAGAAATGACATTTTGAATTGCTCTGTTGATTAGTTAAGTACTCAAACTAAATTAACAATAAACAACAATGCAACAGAAAAGAAACTTTCTCTCAGGCAATTTTCATAATAATCAAAAGTCGATTAGTGATTACCTTTAAGGTAACAGCAACAATGAAAAAGTGAACCTATTATAATCCAGAAAAACAACATCAAAATATAATTAACTAATTGGTATAAAGATGCTGAAACATTTTAGTCAATATTTTAGTCAACAGTCTCATTACAAGTAAAGAGCATTCAAAATCTCATTAATTGTTCATTTTTAATTTTTACTCAAAACACAAAAGCTCAATGATTGCAACGAAACTCAATTTGACTGAATAACTTGGAAAGCTTATTAATTATGATTTATTTCATATTTCTTCATCTCTAAATTGAATCAAATTTGTATTATTCCTGGTTAAATTGCAGTTCAACTTTTGCCTGAATTGGCTTTTTTTCTGGACAAAAGTCAATTTATTTGTCTATTTTACTTTGTATTATAGCGATCCATTGATGGTTACCCTAGCATAGTTAACTTAACTTGAGATGGATAAAAACACTCTTAAGTTACTCTCCAGATTGTGTTTGATCAGGGAATAAGGTTCGGACGAATTCTGATTAGTTCTGATTAAGTTGTGCGTAAAAACAAAAATTTTTGACTAAGAAATTTTTTGAGCGCAGAAATCACAATTTTTGCAGATTTTTCGAAATTTTGGACTTGAAATAAGACTTTTAGCTGCATCTGGACTTCAGATTGGATGCATAAGTCGGCTGGATTCTGAATATAAAGTCCAGAGTCTTTATTTCTCGCGTAAAGTCGAAAAATCTGTAAAAATTTTGATTTCTGCACTCAAAAAATTCCGCTGTCAAAAATTTTTGTTTTGCGCACAACTTAATAAAAACTAATCGTAAATTGTCTAAACCTTTTTCCCTGATCAAACACGACCTGGAGAGTAACTTAGAAGTGTTTTTGTCCGTCTTAAGTCAAGTTAACTATGCGAGGGTAACCATCAATGGATCGCTCTAATATTATTTAACATTGGACTAAACCTTTGATATATCAATAGATGTTAGTTATTAATATAAAAAAAAGGTTCACAAATTATTGCAAGATAATAATATGTAATACAATCAGAAAACGATGAAATAGGCAAAAGTAATACAATTAGGCAAGAAAATGTTTTCCTCTATCATTTATACATTTGAAATTACATTTATCCATTTACTTTACTTTCTGGTGTTTACTTTATTCATTCATTGGGAATCGAGAGTTGATCTGATAAAAGATACTCACCAAGAAAATTCACTTGTTTCAATACTACAAAACAAATAGACACATCCATTATCATTGAACAACAACACACATAAAACAAGGTTAAACCCAATACAGTAATCTTCACTTCACCAATTAACAGTCTTTTTGTAAAGTACAAAAATGATGATAATAAGTAGGATTACATTATTGAACAAGCAACAATATGATTAATTAATTACTCGAGTTACATTTAATTACTTGAGATTAATTAAATGGCAACACACACAAAGGTCCACATTGAAAAGCTAACCTTTAATTGTAAAAAAGTGAACCATTAACCAGTTTACCAGAAAACACAGTTTACCTAAAAATAGCAGTTTAAGGTAAATATCAAATGATAGTTTTAACAACTTGAAATGAAGATATTAATAGCTTGAAATGCTGATAATTATACTCATTTAATGAATATGTAAAGACGTCAAATCGTTTATCCTTTCAACCAAATCAAGATTGATGCCTAATTATTGGTAATGTTGATTATTATGGTTTTACAAAATTGTGATTCGCAGCAAGAAATGGTAATCACTATTATAAATATCTCTGGGTTAACCAACAGTTGCTTTTAATTGATGGTTTAACAGTTACCAATGATCTTTGATTGTTAACCAGCTTGTTACCTTATTGTGCAAAATTAGTTGACCTTTCAAAGTCTTTGGCAACATCAAAGATGTCTATCAATGAAAATTATAATCAACCATTTATGGTGACAAAATAATGATCAATTTGTGATAATTCAAGTCAATATCAAGTTAACATCATTTCTCAACTTTTACCTTTTGTCAGGTTTTCTTTTCACCTTTTCGTTATCCTGAATACCTCATTTTGTTCAAGTTTTGAGATGAATTTTTTGTGCCTCTATCATTATGGAAAAGATGTGCAAGATTAGGAACTCCACATGAACAGAACAACCTGAATCTCCAACTTTTCAATATTTTCTTTTCCTTTTCACTTTTCCATCTTTCAAAATGATGATCATTATCATGAGGAAACATTGAAAGAAGGTTGAAAAGAATGAATTTAATCAGGTAAAAGTAACTAGAAAGGTTGGAAATGTCCATCAATGTCCATCGACGAAGACAGGACAAAAAAGCTGAAAATGAGTTTAAAGTTGAAATGAAACAATTTTATCTAAATTGCTTTCCATCATTTCCAACCAATTTAAGTGTTATCCTTTCCTATTTGAATTCAAAGCTGAAAGCTTCAAATGATATTAATAATGATAATAATGTTGACTTGAATTGATTTTGAATTGAAATCATTTTTTTCTCATTTTTTCTGATTCTTTTCTTGTTATAACTGAAAGTGAAAAAAGTGACTTGAGAAAAGTATCCTTCAAAGTATCAGTTGCAATACGCGAAAAAAACTGAAGGATGATTTTGATGAGGTAAAGTATCTCTCATGAAACTCATGAGATGAATTATTGAGTTTTTTTCTTGAAATAAAAAATTCAAATGAAATGTTTTTTCCTTCATTATCATCATTTTTTATTAACCTTTTTTCACTCGTTCATCTTTCCCATTATTGACATTTCCATCATTACCTTTCATCCAACTTCATTTGTCTCCAAGCACGATGGATTATGTAATAATCTCACTGAATGTAAATACGAAACTGAACAAATCGAATGTCAAAGAGCAAAATTTCAAGTTTTCTAAAATTTATATTAATCAATTCAATGGCATGCTTGAGGATGCAAAAATAGCTTTGATTCAAAAAGAAATTTCATTTTTTCGATTAATTCCTTTCATGAGATTTCAACATTCAGTTTGGATAAACTGCTTCCAGCTAAAACATATGTTGATATGTATATCAGTATTGCTTTGAAGCAATTAGCCAATCGAA